CAAGACTGGCAACACTAACTCTATTGGCCAACTGTACTTCAACGAGTCCGTCTCACAGGAGATCATGGCCCTGGAGCCCTACGTCAGCCACACCGAGATCAACCGCACGACCAACGACGTGGACTCTGTCTACTCTTCAGGCCTGGCAAATGGCTACAACCCCGTCATCGACATCGTCCCTCTCGATGGTAGCGACATCACTCAAGGCATGGTCGGCTACATCACCATCGGTATCGACACGGAGAACAGCCCGTCTTTGAGTGGTCCGGAGAGCGAGCAAGGTGGCGGAGGCGGTTCTCCCAGCGGAAGTGCCATGCCTAGTGGAACCGCCCCGGCATAAGGATGAAAGGATGGCCACTGATGCTGCATACATTCGGAGTTCAGGGATTATCAGTAGGAAATAGACAGTCAAAGCATACAGGATGGGAGCCAATATGATTGCGAGCATTCAATACCGCATTCCATTTAAACATCAGCGAGGTTTCCATTGAATTTCATGCTCCAAGGGGTCTTTAGTAAAGATATTCTGTTTTCGTCGTTCAAGACTACAAGTCCAAGTGCATCAGTCAGGTGGCGAAGTTCAAAAGGTCGACGAATGCCTGCAAGGGTTTCCATTGCGTATTTTCGCCTACCTACCTGCCCGAATACACAACCGCCAACCCAGCCATACGGATACACACCGAATGAAGCCCATATAGTCCCCTCAACTCCATTCACGTCCCAGTCAGCAGGCGCCCGTCTAGGTCGACAGGTCGGGTCAAAGTGGCCGGTGGTGGAGTGGTCCATGGTAAACAATCAATTGTACGCCAACCAGTCTACCCGACGACAGGCTTAGCGAGAGTACCAGAAGTCTCCCAGTTTGAGCACCAACAGATGTATCTCCCAGTTCAGCACCGGGGGAGCGAACTCTTTTGTCATTTTGGTCCTGCGAACCTTTTGATAATGCCACTTCCAATTTGTTAAATCAGCATGAAACGTAACTTTTCGGTTGTTGCCACCCAGTCGGCGCGGTGCATTAGGTGATAGCTTCCAATACGCCGGAACATTGGCAGTTGCTCATCAGCCCCCGCTCCGCTTGTATACACAACAGTGTCGTTCTCCGGCGAATGCGGCACAGGCTCAAGAAATAGTCCCTCAAACCTCAAAACGCGGTCTGTATGGTTGACCAACGGAAGACAAACGACCATATCTCCTGTCGGTGTCTCTTCAGGCGAGTCCCAACCGTAAATTTGCGTCCAATCTGAGTCAGAGTCTGAAATCGTCTGTTGGAGCATCGTTCCTAGCGCTTTCCGATCTTTTGTACTAGTGAATGCCTGGAGTTGAATGGGCTCTTCATCTCTGCCCTTCAGCTGCGAGATCATATGCTTCGCGTCGCCATCGTCGTTAGTCTCATTTCTATAGAACACCACCTTGAGGACACCCTCTAGAATCAACCCGTCATTTTTCGCCTTTCCGATCCTATTCATGACACCAAGGCCAGAAGTGATGAGACCAACAGCCTTAACCAGCCCCGTCCCATGCGGATACCAGTTTCCGAATGTTACCGGCGTGTTCAGTGTCATCCACGACCACGATGGCGCCAAGTAATCAGTCGGCCGCGCGCGAACCTTCTCCTGAGCACTCCAAAGCAGAGCCCATGGCAAACTCTCGTCTATCCATACACCATAAGCTTGCTGGGTATCTCGCTTATCCTGCAACTGACCGGGCAAGCCCGAAAAGGCCACTTGCCTGTCGCTAGGGAACGTAAGCTGTGTCTTTGAGTACATCTTCACTGTTTCCGACCACGCAGCCTCAAAGGGCTTGGTACCCGCGCTCTCGAGCAGCATATCTCGATAACGTCTCCGGTCGCCGATAAACTGCCACCAGATCGAGGCCGGCTGCGACGGAACCCCTTCAGGAAACGATTCACAAAGCTCGCGCTGGCCGCATCCCCAGAGGATCTGCTGCCGACCAAAGTAGAGTGTCCGAGGAGAGAGCAGTCGCTCCTGAAAGACCCAAGCTCGCTTATGCAGCGGCGCCTCTGGAATGTCTGACTTCCATCTGGCATCTAGGTTTTCCCCGTGAAGAAGAAATGGCGGAGCCTCAGAATCCGTCGAAAACGGCGATGGTATGACGCAGGGTAAAACAGTCCAAGGGTCTCTGTCCGAAAAACAGCCGCCTGATCCGTCGGCCGCATGGCTTGCGGATATAGTGCAAAGTGACAGGCTGTATACCTTGCCCATAGTAGGAGCCTCTCGCCTCCAGTCATCTTCGCTCTGCTGAATGATGCAGATGGAATCTATCCATATGTATCGGACTTCAAGTCTCCTGGCGATGATAAAAGCGTCGGAAAAGGTTTTGGAAAGCTCTGAGTACGGTATGCCTATCATAAACTGCTTGATGTTGCTTTCTAGGAGAATGCACGGCTGCTTCAGGCCCCAGCAGTGACTCAACGTCATCCATCGAACAGGGCGTTGCAGAGATTGCGAATGTACCAGCTTGGCTACGTCGGAAGGGGACTCTCCCAAGTCAATCAGGCGTGTAGGGGCCCATCCGTCTTCGTTTGGCATTGAGCAATCGTGTGATGTCAGGCAATCCGTAAGAAACTTCTGAGCTAAGCCGAATGCTTGTTCCGAGCCAGTATTGGTGTTTAGAGTCAGAATTGACTCTTCCCTTGGAATTGAGGCTGTAATTTCCGCTGTCATTCTGCATGAGCTTCTCATATCATAGCAGTATAATTACTCGGAAGCATCACGAACCTGTTGTTTCTTCGACCGAGAAAAAAATAGTTTGCATCCTGTTGGCATTCTCTTCGTCTAATCTCCACAGACCCATGTGAATTTCGTAGCCTTGCGTTCCGCTGGCGAAGCCGTATCGAAGCTCGAGGTTGTCGTCCTGATCCAAGTCATTCCAGTCTGGCCATGGAATCTCGTGCTTTCCCCCAAAGTTCAACCGCCGGAACCATATGAGATTACAGATGCGACATCCATCACCCTTTCCTTGTTCTAGGCTTTCTTTTGTGTGCGGGAGCCGATAGCCATCATTGTTCGGAGAGTACAGACCGGATGAAGAGACTTCTCTAGCTTCAGTGAAAATAGTCAGACAACGGCTACATAGATGAGACCAGCGACGGTCGTGAAACTGAGTCACCATGGCTTAAAGGGTTGCCGATCAATGTTTGGCCCTGAGCTGGATTGCTCGCAGGTGTATCCGTAATTAGGCAGCTGAATGCACCTCACTTTTTGCTGTTACGTAGATTGCGAATGAGGATCACGCAGACCAAATTATAGCCTCCAATCACGTGACGTAAGCAGACTTGGGCTCCTCCCGGATTGCTGTTGTTCATTGGTGATTACCTCTTACCCTAGTTCTGTATAACGGCTCGAAGGTTGTTCACAATTCTACAAGTAGCCAGACAAGACAGTAGTTAGAATGGAAACGATGTAATGTTAGCTTTCTCAGACCATCACCTGTAATACCACGTGAACACTATACCAGCGAGTATGAGGCCTCATCTAATTAATCATGGTAGCTCCCGTCCCCCAAACTTTCAGAAGCCTAATACAAGACTAATAACATCCTTGAAGAAGTCGTAAAAAATTACTGCTCCTATCAACATCAAAACGTCCTACGACCTGTTGAAAACGCCTGATTAGCCAACGCATCAGCCTCAGTATTTTCCTCCCTTGGAACAGCCCAAAACAGAATCTCCCTTCCCCCATCATCTCCATACGTCATCTCATCCAACTGCTCATGCAACTCCCTTAACACCTCAAAATGCGCAACCCTCTTCCCTCTCGCATTCAACCCCTCGTTCTCAATCCATTCCGCAATCCAAAGCGCCATAGCATTCGCAAGATACTCCGAATCCGTCGCAATCGTAATCCGGTTTAACGAAAGATCCCTTCCCGTTATCTCACAAATAATCCTCACGGCCTGCACCAGCGCCTCAATCTCGGCCCGCGAGTTCGTCTGCGGGAGATCCCTCGCCAACAACCCGCACGCGTTATACCGCGATCCGGGGCCAAAGTAGACGCCCCACGAACCCTGCGCGTCGGGAAGCCCGTTGTTGCGGCAGGCGCCGTCGATGTAGACGACCAGGCTGCCACGTTCGGGGACGGGGCGTTTGGTGGCCCAGGAGTACATCTGCATGCCGAGGAGCTGGGTTTGCGGGTTGTAGATGACGAGGTCTGCTTTTGGGACCATTCTGTGGGTGTCGCTTGCGCGGTGGTCGAAGAGGCGGCTTCCCATGCCGTCGTCGTCGTCGTAGCCCATCATCTTTGCGGTGATATTGAGTCGTGTTCACGACGACTGTTGGAAGCAAGGTAGGAGCCGAGTATTTTCCGTTACAGAAGAGGATACACTCCAAATTTACGGATGTTGCTGAATAGATAGTGGAAATCTTTTCTGATAGCCTGATCAGCATACTACTTTCTCAAAGACAGACAATGATCTCGTGGGTGATCTTACAAAAGTATGAGATATGCTGACAAGCCGTTGTTAGTATCAATATGTAAGTCACTCATGCTAGGTTGCTCGTCGGTCGAATGAAGTCTGATTATGAGCTCAACAGAGGTTGACAGAAGCATGGGCAAAAGAGGGGAAGGGGCAAAAGCTAAACCAATTGACTTGACCTGAAGACGGATAAAAGTGGTCCCTTGCATATGAAGTTCAGATGCTTCTCTGTTCTGATATCTAAAGCATGTTCATTCCGCTCTGTCTTCCTCCATCTTGAACTCAGGCATGAGAGTCTATTTCTTGTATAGGAATAAGGGGGAAGATCGGCGGTGACAGATACCTCATAATCTTGCATTTTAGAATAGCTACTATGGTATTTTCACGCAAGTGCCTGGTCAGCTTTCGATTATGAGCAGCGTACTTCTATTCTTTGAGTCAAACAGACATGAACCAATACTCATCCCGTTGGCCTTGGGCCTCTTGCAAAGCTCATCGATTTCTAACCTCAACAACGCCACACGTCTACCACAATCGCTTTGCGACGGCAAGTTACACCCATTCTATTAGACAAACATCGTCACAATAGCCAGCAAAATGACAAGCAATCCGGGCAACAACATCGGCATCATCAACTCCTCAATCGCAAGCTCCGTGCTAGGAGAGACAAGACTCAACGGGAAACTAGGCGGGAACGCCCGCCGCCTTCTCTCAACAGTCTCCATCAAATGCCTCGGAATATTCGTAATATCAATCGTCAAGCGGTGCGTGCTCTTGCTTCCGTCATGTTGCACGTACAACGTCGCTAGATCCGGCTCATACGACCACTCTCCGTCGCTGACCTTGATGTCGATGTTGCGCTGCGCGTAGTGGTACTTTGGCACAAATATCTCCGTCGTACGGGACTTTTCGGGTTGACTTTTGCTGTTTGTGGCGCCACGTTCGGCCTCTGACGTCCACTCGAACTCGTAGTGGAGGGTCCGCGGGTCCCAGTCCGAGCGAACGGGGCGACCTGCAGTCTTGACGGCGTAAGGACGAATAATCACGTCCAACACCCTCCCACCGCGGTACAGCTCATCATCCTCATGCGCCTCGTTTGCATAATCTGGCAAAATGTGGCCCGGCTTCGCTTCACTGTCGCCGTTAACGACAGAGAAATCCTCCTTGTTCCACCCATCGCCGTACTCCACTCGATTATCAGGGTTATAATTCCACAGCGTAAAGGCGAGGTTGTTATCCTCCATGGCAGAGACAAGCGCATGCATCAGCTCCCGCAGCTTATCGTAGTTGCCCGTCTTAAACGCCTCGCCGCCGTTGATGTCGTAGGGTATGCCAACCTCGCCAATGAGGGCGGGCACGTGGGTTCCTAGCGACTTTTGCCCGTACTTGAGGATGTTGGCGAGCTGCGTGCGGTAATTTTGTCGAAGCGCCTTGGCGCCGAAGTAGAGTGCCTTCAAGATGAACATGCCCCTGGAGAGGCCTTGTACGTTCACGCTCATCCATGAGTGATGCTTGCTGAATAGTACATTGAGGTCGTAGAAATGAGGAGCAAAGACGAGATTTTCTGGCCTCGGTGTGTCGATGATTGTCTTGGTTGCGTATGTCTGCTTCTGTCCGGCTTCGTCCACCTTGCCGTCCTGGCCGATCCAAGGTGGCACAAACTCGTTCGGTATCGGCTCAAAGAAGCAGAACTGGCGGGGCGATTTCCGTGAGACACGTTCCGAGAAGCGCTTGAGGAAGGGACCGTAGAAGTCGCGGTACCACTCCAGCGGCTTGCCTTCACGACCTGGCCGATGGTCCACCTCAAAGTAGTCTTGCTGCAGGACCTTTGGGCCCTTTTTCGCTTCGTCCCATTCCCAGACGCCGTGAGCGCGCCATACACATTCGCCAAGACCATAGTTCTGTGGTTTCGATGCAGTTGGCTTAGCCACCAGCCAGGCAGATCTTCCCTTTGGATCGACAACAGTTTTGTGGGAAATCCGAGTAGGGAACGGCCAAGACTTGACGTAGTAATTGACCTCTTGAGCGTAGCCACTGGCAAGTGCGAGCGCTTGTGTCAAGGACGGGTAATATCCGATGTGAAGGTCGGTATCGTAGTTCCAACCATCGAACCCATGAAGATTGACAAGACCTCGATGCGGCTCATTCAACGGCTCAAATCCGACACACGCCTCGAGACCAGCAACTTCATCCGCGAGTCGGCCAAAGGCTTCGATAAAGGCACTCTGGAGAAACTCTTGAGCCGAAACAGTCTCATCCCTGCCATCTTTCGACCGCTTGCATTGCAGCTTCGGCGCCAGAGCGTCGCCGGCCCAAAACAACGTCGCCATCGTCGACGCCGCAATTTTCTGGTACCCAGACGGCCACACAAACGGACCGCTCGGTTCCTTCTCATTCACAGGCGCAGTGGCTCTCCTCAGCTCATCCTGCCCATGCACATATGCGGCACCAGTCTCGGTGAACGCTTCGACGTCGAGCCCAGCAACCTCAAATGTCCAACCGGGTGCACCGCTGCCACCACTGAAGCGGCTCCATACGTCCTGGTGAGCGCAGATGAAGCACTTGACGCCATATTTCGGCATGGTCTCAATTAGCTGGCGCAGGTAGTCGATGTACTCTAGATCAACATCGGTCTCCGGGTCCGGCCCGGAGTGTCCAATCGATTCCCACGTAACAAGCAGTCGTATCAGCGGCAAGCCCCAAGCCTGCAGCCGTCTGAAGTGCAGCGGCGCATCTTCGAGTGGGAACGGCCGGCCGATGAAGGTCACTGTGCGGTGCTCGAAGAAGCCGTCGGTGAGATGAGACAGGCCATTGGGCGTCGTGGGCAGCTTGCTGGCACCAGAGATGTTGAGGCCGTGTAGCGTGAGAGTGCGACCGTAGTTGTCGACAAAGTAGCCATCTTTAAGGCCAATTGGACCTCCTAGTGCCGCGTCGGAAAGGTCCTGCGCAGCGTACTTGGCCGCCATGGTGAAGGAGCGGTGAGATGGTCGTTGAGAATCAAGGTGTAAGGTGAGCTTTTTGGCTTGATTGGCCGGGGGGAGCTCCAGACGTTACGCGTACTGGCAGCTTCTCGTCAGGACAGATAACCTGCTTAGTCAGCGACTCCCCTTCAGATGTCATGTCAGTCGTATTTACCAAGACAATAAGTTACTAATTCATCAAGGATACTGTTAGTGAGCTTAAATCACCTATGAAAACTACGTCAATCCCATGCAAGAATGTTGTGGGTTGAGAAAGCCGAACCATTTTCATCTTTTCAAGTCCTGTTGAAGAATGCCCGGGAAAGTCGGGCCCCGATGTGTGGATGCTGCGCCAAGACTTGTGCCTCATCAATTGCTCAAGGCCGTCGAACAATTTTCACAGCCTAGGCTCGTTTCATCGAGTCTTGACATCAGGATCAAATCATGTCAATAATCTCAAAAATCTAAGTACGTATTTATAACAATTGTCACAGACTTGTAAGGGATTGGCAGTGTTCTTATTTGTTTTCATTATTCATAGAGTCGTCCATCTATGGCCGTCTACGGCTTTTTCTATATAAGGCCCGCATGGTATCATAAACTAGGAACGCGGTAGTTTTTTCTTTCCTTTATCAACAGCACACAGACTTAAAGCTTGCGAACGACCTTGTTGGAGGCCTCCTTCTCCTCCTTCTCGTCCCAGATGTTGATGTTCCAGCGGGGCTTGTAGGTGAAGGGGATGTTGTAGCGGCGGGGCTCCTTGCCAATCTCGTTGATGGCGGCAACGTCCTCGTCCGAGATCTTGACCTCCTGGAAGTTGGACTGGATACGGCTGGGAGTGACGGACTTGGGGATGACGGAGTGGCCGCCGACCTGGGACCAGGCGAGGACAACCTGGGCGGGGGTGGCGTTGAGCTTGGTGGCGATCTTCTTGACAACGTCGTTCTCGATGAGGAGGGGAAGACCGAAGCCGTTGTTACCAAAGGCCTGTGCTTGTTAGTCATTGCGTCACTGAAAAGAGGTGGTGGTGCGAGTGGTGAACATACAGAGTAGGCGGTGATGTGAATGTTCTTCTCCTTGGCGTACTTGATCAAGGTGTCGTTCTGCTGGAGGAGGGGGTGGCGCTCGATCTGGTTGACGGCGGGGGTGACACCAGTGGCGTCGATGACGGTCTGGAGGTCCTCGACGGTGAAGTTGGAGACACCAATGTTCTTGACCTTGGACTTGGGAAGGTCGATCAAGGCCTTCCAGGTGTCGACCAGGGAGACGCTCTGGTCGAGGTCGACCTCACCCTCGGCGGCGAGGGGGAAGAGCTTGTCGCCATCCTTCTTGAAGGCAACGGGCCAGTGGATGAGGTAGAGCTGTGAGTGGGGGGTTAGCCGGGTATTGCTCGCCCGTCGATATCCACCCGACCTAGTACGCAAGGAGGGGTATGGGAGGAAGACATACGTCAAGGTAGTCGAGCTCGAGCTCCTTGAGGGTCTCGTCAAGAGCAGCCTCGACGTTCTCGGGCTTGTGGTTGTTGTTCCACAGCTTAGAGGTGATCCAGATGTCCTCACGCTTGAGGCCGGGGATCTCGGCGAGGGCCTTCTTGATACCCTGGGCAACCTCGGGCTGGTTCTGGTAGATCTTGGCGAGATCGAGGTGGCGGTAGCCGGCCTTGAGGGCCTCGTAGACACCAACGGAGACTTCGCCGGGAGCGGACTGCCAGGTGCCGTATCCCAGAGTGCTAGAATGGCCAAAGAGTCAGTTGAATCTGTGTATTTTCCGTTTTGCAGTTTGGGAGGGAGAGAAATGAGGCAGAGCGCGAGCGCGAGAGCGGGGTATCGCGATCGGCAGGGGAATGGATGGAGGGGTAATTATTTAGACGTACGGGATCTCGGCGCCGGTGTTGAGCTTAGCCTTGCTTCCGAAAGACATTTTTGCTGGATTTGTACGAGGATTGATTTAGAAGAGTGGAAGAAGAAGAGTGTAAGTTATCGTGAGAATCACCAGCAGAAGGGAAGGTTGAATGAGAGAGCTTCGAGGTGGCCTCCTTTTAAACAAGTGAGGGGTTCCAACACGCAATTGCATCATCGTTTGTCAGGATGAGCTGCGCACCCTGATGGGATGGGGTACCTCGTACTTTCTCTCCGTGACGCCCACTGTCGGACCCGCTAAACATCACTCGAGTACCAATTGTCGATGGAGGACGGTAGAGATGGAGGAGGAGACGCGGGTTGCCCCAGGACACGGTCGTGACGCTGCCACCGTCGCCAACTGTTAGGATTGCCTGTGTGGGTTGGCCGTGGCGGGGTCGTGGTCGTGGGTGTGGACCGTGGGCGATGGTGAGACTGGGGGACCCCGCGCTTCCACCTAAATCTCCCGTCTTCTGTCTCTTTCGGCTGCGGAAGCCCGAAGTCGGCCATCACGGAGGGGCTCTCGTTACGGCGTACAGATAGGCTCGCTTGGAACTGAGACGTGAGTCCATTTGGGTCCGTCTGGGTCCGTCTGGGCCCGGCACCGGGTAAGCACTACACGCTGACCCGTCCCGGCACATAGTAACATCTTCACACATCTCTTAGAGTATCTTAGCTTGAGGCCTTCCGGTTCATATGAGATGTCCTCCATGAGATTTATGGTATCTTGGACACTGAGACTTGCGTTGTACTATCTCACTCTGTGAACTCACTCTATGACCTCAATCTTTGAGATGAAATCGAATCCGTCATCATGACTTTTGGTCACGTCTTATCTCTCACTCATGTCGTCTTGATCATGTCAAGCATCGACGAAATGTCGTGCAGTGACGGCACAGACGGCGTCGATGGCGATCAGTGTAGCTCATAGAAATGCCGCAATTGCCACTAGACTTTCTCTCGGCACATCTTTACACCAAGCCCCGAAAGCGTGTTCCACTCAAACGTTCTTCATGTTCCACACAACCTTAATCTGATGCGATCAAATGAGATTTCGCCCTTTGAGGTATGGCAAATTGAGAATGCGCGGTGCACCGCGACTACAGAATGAGGTCCCACAGAATCAACTGCACACTCTCCTCGTTTGTGTAACAACCGTCAAGTATTTATACTCATGGCTAAACACCACGAAGTAGGATAACCTTTGTTGATCAGATGAATGAGAGTACAATTGGCGAAGACGATTGAAATTGTGAAGAGAATCAGTGGTGGCCGTGCCCTAATGACGTGAGAGCGGGCAGGTGAGCTCAATGTAGGCGCTGTGAGTTGAACACAGCAGGACTAGGTTGCTGCTCACTTCTAAGTGCCTCGCTTGACTCTGAGGCTTCGTCCTGGACGATCAAAAGTGAGAACAGCTTAATCGTTATTGGCAGGGGGCACTGCGCCCGTAGTGATTGAGATGAAGCCGCCTGTACTTATAGGAGTTGGCGATGAACACCACTGCCTCAGATCCAGCAATCTGCCTCGACCCCCACGTCAATTATATCCATGCAAGCTGTCATCCACGTCGGGAAAAGAATCTCACATCCAAAGCCAAGTTCCCGACCGGGTAAGATGGACACAGGCGCCGGTTCCTGCATCCTTCACAGGCCAATCACCCAATCATTCCCCCAGCGAGACGTCTCACACTGCTCGCTTACGCTCTAGAAGCGCGTTCTGTAGCGCCGCCCGAGTCCCGAGGGGATCATCAGGGGGCAGCTCTCCAGGGCCTGACAGGATGCGGCCCGCAACGGTCCACTGTGGGGAACCATAAAATTAGAATGCCTCAAGCGACCGTGGCTGCCGACTGGTGCATTCTGACGTGAAAGGTATTCGCAGCTTACTTGACCTCGCATTTTGTCCAGTCATAGTTATGAACGACGAAGCTCAGCATATGCGTTAAAATATCAATTGGTTACGAAGTTTTGAACACCTTAGACATGGCGCGGTAGCCGCTCCAGGCTTGGTTACTCATGTGAGGTCGTAACGCTGGATTATACCGGAAACTCTGTAAATGCCGAAATGCCGTGACATCGAATTATGGGTCTCTGCTCGGCGCCGAAACCATTAATGATCTCCTTTCATTTGGCCTGTCTCTTCACACTATGGTAACCATTGCTTGGCTTTTTCACATTCATCTTATGCGTCTCGCCGAAAAGCCGACAAGAACACGGCCCCGGTAGCTAGCCGTCTCCCTGGAACGGAATTGTGTACCGGCTTACATGGCGACCGTCGCCGGTACTGGAGTAGGCGTAGCGCGACTTAGCAAAGCGTGCACCGAATGTCACTCGCGCAAGGTGAAGTGCGATGCGCCTATGGTCGGAATACCCTGCGGCCGTTGTGTCAGTAAGGGAACCTCCGAGAGTTGCAAGTTGGTCTCTCGCCAGACACGCAAGAGGTATGTGAAAGCAATGGGACATCTCGGATAACATCTCGGTCCTCTGACGATGGTGCCAAAGGAAGAGAAGAACAGACGATTCGATTCAAGATTGCCACGGCACCCAAAATGTGAGAATGTCATGTTGCTTCCCATTGATCCATCCGGGCAACTCAAGTTCGGCCTATGGCATATCAAAGCTGTAGAGATATAGCAGTGATGACTGACTGGAACAGAATACTGAGTCTACACCCAGAGAATCCTCGTCAAATCGTGCTTTAGTGGACTCATCAATCCCTTCCGATTCAATTGTGCCGCCGTCTTCCATCCGACGCACCCACGGTTCCCATGGTCTTGGTGAATTTGGGAAGACGAGCTCGATAGGCTCAGGTCGCACGCCCGAAAACATACGAGACGTCTATGCACTCCCACAGGCGCAAGCAGAGTACAATGGAAGGACTCATTATCTCAGCATATTGAAGACGGCGATGAATGGCAGTGAGACGAGTGAAAGTCCCGGACTCGGGTCTACTGCCAACAGCTCCACCGACAACACTCCACACTACCCAGAAAACACACAGGTCGGCATGTCTGGTTTGGATCCAGTGGATCTGGAGTTTCTCATGAAGAAGGGCGCATTTGCGTTGCCGCACCGGGATGCCTTGTAAGCCGTCCACTCAAAAGATGACTCCTATGACGGACCTATAAAATCTGACAAGAAGACGTGAGAATGATGTTTCTGACTGCCTATTTTCGCTTCGTTCATCCATACTCCCCAGTATTGAACCCAAATCACTTTTTACAAAGTTACGAGTCGGGAACCTATTCGCCGTTTCTCATACAGACGGTCCTAACGAGTGCTACTCTCTACGTGCCGGCTGACCTCCTCACCTCGTGTGGATACTCAAACGTCACAGAGGCGCAGACTGCATTCTTCAGTAAAGCGTTGCTGCTACATGACTTTCAATGTGAGAAGAGTCAATTATATCTGCTACAAGGATCCCTCATCTTGGGGACAACTGCCTTTTTCTACCCCATTGACCGAGATGTTCAGTACTGGTTCTTCAACGCCGTCCGACTTGCCACGAAGCTAGAACTTCAGAAACTGTGAGGATATCCCATATCTTATGTTACACCCATGTTTCGGTATTCCTAACATCAGAATCTGAAGGGATCAACTACGAATCGCGGACGCCCAGCTTCGCGGGCTGTATAGAAGAATTTGGTGGGTCATCTACGTGAGTTCATCATCTGGACCCCGTGAACAGAAGTCACTTGCCATTAATATTGACTCATCTCTGTAGTGTCGAGATGTACTATTGTCATTTCTGGGTCTGCAAAGTATGCCTCTAGTCAGCGACAAGAAGAAGCTGCCAGCATTGCCAATGGCGGAAGACTGGGAGGTTCTGAGTGACGACTCGAACGCTCTGTCTCCTTTCACGATAACTCGTGAACAAGAGCTTCACTTTATAGATTACTGCAAATTGTCTATGCTAGGTAGGTTGTCAGTAGTCAATATCCGGGACAGCCCCTGACACTTACTTATGATGACAGGAAGGAAATGGCTTGTCAAAATATCCGAGCCAGATCAGGTCGATGCGGAAACCATGGCTCACGAGTTTCGCACCTGGGGAAGTCAGCTTCGAGGAGCATCCTACGCAGACCATCACCTCACCGACGGCCCCTACCTCACGGCCCTCCTCGCAGCCAGTTACCGGTTCGAGTGTATCTTATACAGAACGATCAAGCTTCATTGGAAGACTGTCGACACTTCCCGGTACGACTGGGCAAGAGGTCGGCTTCGATGCTCTTTGTTTGAGCTTGACACGCTGTTCGGCAGAGCACTTGCAAATGGCGAGCTTAGGAGCCTGCCCATGTCTTTGTACGTCTCCCTCAAGAGAAGAGGGTGTCCTGAAATCGAGAATGAATAGCTGACGATTGAGCCTGGCAGTAATTCAAATATCCCAATAGCACTGGCCCTCCACATAGAGACCGCTTTGGATAGTGCCGAGTCCAACGCAACTAAGTCCATGTCGCTCATCTACATTCGTCAAGGGTTGCTAATTCTAGAGCAGCTTCAGGACTTACCAGTTATGAAAAGGATATCTTCCATATTTGAGTGGGCGTTAAGTCGGTTGGATTTGATTCCTGAGGTTTCTCAGGACAAGCAAGTCAGTGACGGTATTCGTGCTGGTATGGAGCAGGACGGTTCTGTGGACCAGATGGGAGCCTCGACGGATCATGAATTTGGAGAAATGCTCGATCAGGTGGAGCCGTGGTTCGGCGATTTCCTTGGGCTTGAATTCCTCGATAATTTGAGATCGAGTGGCGACAGAGTTTAGGCTTTGAAACTTGTCGAGCATGACAATGGTCGAAATGAGAATCATTTGACGTGGCTTCGCAAGGAGAGTTTCGACATAACATTCACTCACCCATTCTTGATGCTGATAGTGAGGCAGTCCTTTGGCTCTACACATGTTCGTAAAATCAGGTATGTCGGTGAGTCTTTTGGCTTGCGGTTACCGATGCCTCCAGCGAAAAAGGCGGCAGTTCATCATATGTTCACCACACAGGTTTTGAAAACCCAGTCGTGAAGTAAGATGCTTTCAAGCTGTGGTCATCATAATTTCGCGGTCAAGTGGTACGAGGGTTCTATGTCAAGGTCTATATCTATTCCGGCGTTTAGGATATTCAAATCTAGCTGATTATGTCTTCAAACAAGAGGGAGTGTCTTGGTGCTACCAGACCAGAAACCCTTGAACAAAAGTCCCACCTCCTGCACATTTTCGGTCGGGTAAATGCCAGCTAGGATGCCGTCTGGGCGCAGAATCACGAGCCCGCCGGTTGTGGCTGAGATCCCAAAGGTATTGTGTCCCTGTCCGTCGACATCACAAAGCACCAAACTAGAAGGAAGTCCATCATACACATCCCACGTGTTGGTAATAGTACCAGTGACAATCGTCGTGAAGCTAACCATCTGGTCGTACTTATTGACCGCGTAGAGAGACTCGAGAGTCCTACGCAGCGCAGCGACCTTTGCTGTCTTCTGACCAGGGCGACCAGCAAAGATGAGCATATTCCACTGCCCAGTGTTCTTGTGGATAATGCTTTGCAGGCGGATGGGAACAGACGGACCGGGTGCTCTGAGAAGGATGTCAGGACAGCGATGACCGACGGCCAAACTACCAGTGGTAGCCTTGTCGACCAAGACGGAGGGCCCATAGCTGACGCCAAGACCAATGTTGAAGCTGGCGTTGGACGTCAATATGTCGCCCAGCACCTTGCTCGGCTCGGGCTTGCCACTGCATCCGTTCCACGTCTTGGGCACGTCGCCAGACAACACAGCCGCTAGGGTCTTGTCGATATCAATGACCTTTTGAGCGACGGCACGGCGCTCCTCGGAGTACGTATCGAGCACTTCCGTTTGGTACCATCCTCTAAGGACTCCAGCGAGCTTCCATGAGAGGTTAATGGCGTCATGGATTCCGGTGTTCATGCCCTGGCCGAAGCCGGAGGAGTGTGTGTGAGCAGCGTCGCCGGCAAGGAACACGAAGTCATCCTTTCGCATGGTCGCCGCTACCTTTTGCTTGATTCTGTTCTTGCCGTCAGAGATGTAACTTTCGTAGTCTCAAGAGTTATACTTGCGTGTAAATGGTCCACCAGTCGACTCGCTCGAACTCAAGATTGAACGGTTTGACGGACTTGATCACCTCCTCCATAGCCTGTTCTTTGCTGAGACCTTGGGGATACTTGGCCTTGAGCGTCGGAGTGAAGACGTATCCCAGGCGACACGCATCTTTATCAAGCCGAGCTACGAAGGCATTGCCGTACTCGGCGCTGTTAATTGTCACGAACCCAAGGTCGGTCGCAGGAATGTCGGTCTTGACACGGCCATCAAAACGAACCCATTCGTATGCCGTTTCGTCACCAATCATTTCAATTTTGGCAAGTTGTCGGACTTGAGACGTGACTCCGTCAGCGCCGACCAGGTATTTACTTTGGAGGATTAGCCAAGTTCTTTCTCATTGGGGCATGTATGAGAAGGGGCTATACCATCTGATCGAGCGTTTTCCGTGCTGAGGATGTTGAAGTGTAGCTGTGAGATTGTAACCGTCTTTGGGCTTGTCGTCGATTTGGTAGTCAACAAGTTCCCACTGGTATTGGACTTCGTTTCCTGAAATGGCCTTATACTTGGCAGCCAAGATGGCCTGGGAAGACTTTTGACGGATGTTGATGATATAGTCGTGGAAAGTTCCGGTCATGGCAGTGAACATTGACTGCTGGCCCACGGCCGACACTCTTTTACCGCCATGGAAGGTGGCAATCCCCCGAACAATGTTGCCTTGTTGAACTATTTCCTCGGCGACGCCGACCTGTTCGAAGAGCTCGAGAGTGCGGGGGAAAAGAGTAATGGCTCGGCCAAAGGACTCCTGGACCTCCAACTCTCGTCTTTCTTTGGTTCAACGTCAGATCCGCCCAACGTCAAAGTAGCCTCTGCCAACTTACCAATGATGATCGTGGGGATGCCTTGCTGGGCCAGACCGAGGGCAGTCACCAGGCCGACCGGGCCAGCACCGACAATGAGGACATCAGTCGGCTCGAAATCCATGGTAAATTAAGGTAGTCAGATGAGTTGTGGGATATTATCAAATGGTTGATGGTAGATAGAAAGAAACCAGAAGGAGTTGGTTGTTCTGATGTCAGTCTTATATGTGGCCGGGAGGATTTCGGTCTTCGAGTGCACGGGATGATCTAAATCACCGTCTACAATTTACGTTGCATCTTTGCATCTTTGCCCGGAATTCGGGATTATAGTGACAGGCCGAAAACACTCGAGATAATACGCATCTTTTTCTTGATATACAGGAGGCTCTCTATACCTAGTATGCTGCACACGCCTTACTCGGTGTTCAAACTCCGTAGAGAGATAAAGGCTACACAATTCCGGCGCCGAAAGAAAATGTGGGTCATGTTCGGCACCGAACGACGAGAATCAATCTTCAATTGCCCGCCGCGTCTTGGCCATCCCATCAAACTGGCCATCATTCTATCTCGGTGAGTAAACTCTCGACAGGGATAAAGCAAGGTTCGCCAAACACAAACGACCCCAAATTTCGATGGGTCGCTATCACATTTGGGGCACTGAAATACGCGGGAAATGGGGCACGTGTGTTTTGACTTTCAGCTCCATGTCTCAACCGTCTCGAAACGTCGCTCCAAGTTCCATGGAACGCCACAAATCTAACCAAGAAAGCCGCCGCCCGTTGGCTTGGCTTGGCCCAGGCTTGCTCGCCAAAAGTCAAAGTTTGGTTGTGAACACCTAACCGCCTTTTCTCTTAGCCTTGCACCTGTGGCCCTTACCTCACCTCAACTCCAATCTGGTGAGATTTTGCTATGAGATTCTCATTCAGGGGCTTGCGACAGCGACACCCGTAGACGGTTCCCTCCTTACAGACCGCAGCCTTTTCTTGTCGCATCTTGCTTGGTCGCAGTTCCTTTTTCTTTCTCGTATTCGATAGAGGGCAGACACTCTCATTCCATCGCCGTCGCCGAACCGTTTCCATGACTCGAACCTAGCCGTGTCACACAGCCCTCCTCCCTTGCCTGGCCTCAACCATCGAGAAGGCCTCATCACGCTCCGGGGTCACCACGCCGCCTCTCATTCACGCGTCTCTCCACTCACATATACTCACACAGACAGACACAAACATTCGTCATGGGGAGGACATCATACCGCTGGACGCGGGTGCGCTCCACCGTCCTCACCCTCATCACAATAACATGTGTCATCTACATCCTCGACACAACATGGCTACACCCGCGCACAGAAACAGCCATGCTAGAACGCTTCATGAACACAGAAAGCCTCGTTCGGCAACCGGCGACACCAAAATCCAGCTTCGACTGGTCCGCCGTCGACCTAAAGTACCCGCCCCAAGACCCGCTCACCCGCGTCCCGAACGGTGGCCGCGGCTCCCTGCCCCGTGTGCAACACCGGTTCCCCTCCGAATCCCTCTCCGCTTCTCGGCGCCGGGAAGCCCGCCGGCAAGAAGTCCGGCGCCTCTTCCAAAAGAACTGGGCGAATTACAGAGAGTATGCCTGGATGAAAGATGCTCTCAACCCAATCTCGGCCACCGCAAAGGACCAGTTCTCCGGCTGGGCTGCCACCCTCGTTGACTCCCTCGACGTGCTGTGGATCATGGGCCTCAAGCCAGAATTTGAGGAGGCTGTCGCGGCCGTCGCGAAGATCGACTTTAGCATTTCCACATCGGACCGCGTCAACACGTTTGAGACAAACATCCGCTATCTCGGCGGTCTCATGGCCGCTTACGACCTCAGCGGGCGCCGCGTCCTTCTCGACAAGGCCACCGAGCTCGGTGATCTGCTGTATGGCGCTTTCAACACAGAGCACCGCATGCCGGTAGACTTTATCAACTTCAACGACGCAAAATCAGGCAAGGGCCTCATCGTTGAGGGCTCCGTCGTCTCCGCGTCACCGGGCACTCTATCCCTCGAGATGACGCGCCTGTCCCAGCTCACCGGCAACCCAAAGTACTACGACGCCGCCGCAAAAGTGATGGATCTCTTCCACGACGGCCAGCAAAAGACGAAACTCCCAGGCATGTGGCCCATGTTCGTCCACATGGCCGACCGCGACGTCGTCACGGGCTCAACCTTTACCATTGGCGGCTGCGCCGACTCGCTTTACGAATACCTCCCCAAGATGATCGCCCTCCTCAACGGCGCGGAACCAAAATACCACACCATGACGGAGAACTTCCTCAAAGCGGCCAACGAGTCCCTCTTCTTCCGCCCCATGCTTCCTGGCGGTGAAAACGTCCTCATCTCGGGCAACGTCGACGTCGACGCGGGCGGCAACCACTCCCTCGACCCAGAGAGCGAGCACCTGTCCTGCTTCATCGGCGGCATCTACGCTCTTGCCGGTCGCGTGCTGGGAAAAGAAGAGTGGGTTACCGTCGGCGCCCGGCTGACGCTGGGGTGCTACTACGCCTACCAGGCCATGCCGACGGGCATGATGCCGGAGCGGTACAACATGGTCAAATGCGACCGCCGTGACGCGTGCGCATGGGACGAGGACAAGTGGGACGCGGCGAAGAAGTTGAAGACGGAGTATAAGGAGCACTTGCCCAAGGGCTTCACGACGGCCAAGGACCCGCGGTATATCCTCCGGCCCGAGGCGATTGAGAGCGTCTTTGTGCTGTATCGCGTTACGGGCGACCAGGGGTTCCAAGAGGCGGCCTGGGAGATGTGGAAAGCTGTGAGTAATGGGACGCTCGTCGAGCACGGCAATGCTGCGGTGTTGGACGTCACGCAGAAGCAGGACCCGCTGCCCAAGGAAGATTACATGGAGGTGAGTTTCCTCGTCATCTTCCTTTTGATTATCTGCTGCTCTTCCTCCTCTTTGCATTCTCCTGCCATGTCAGCATGCCTTCTGGCAGGGATGAGTTTCCCGTTCTAAATTGGGAGATTGCGAAGGGGAGAGAACACAGAGAGAAAAGTTCCGCTTGACTGACACTGCATGACCACCCATTTAGAGTTTCTGGCTGGCGGAGACACTGAAATATTTCTACCTCGTCTTCTCACCGCCCGATCTCGTCAGCCTCGACGACTATGTGCTCAACACAGAAGCGCACCCCTTCCGGAGGCACCTTTGAATTGGAGCAAGGGGCTTGGTTAGAGTTAAGGAAAAGGCGGCATCGTTCACTCACCCCGGATTTCGTATCCCGAACGCTTGGGTTTGGATGAAAAGGAGGTGCGCGGACAGCTCCGCTGATCTGTGCTCTCTTCTATCCCACCGGGCGAGTCTGATACATGACTTGCTAAAAGCGGCACTGAACGTGCGATGGGTTTACATATTGCCGGACTGGTGTATTTGTACAGAGTATGAGCGAATAGATTCGCCGAGTAATGACATTTTGAGCTTTGATACCTAGCTCCATCTTGGAAGATGATCGTGAGCAGAAGATCGGCCTATGAGTCTGGTGTCTTTACGATGTCACGAGTCAACCGCTACTGATCCGTGGTGAAGCGTCATAGCTAATCGGTGATGATGACTGATCGCTGTTCAATCGTGTTGAACCGCCACCCAAACAGTAAACTTCATTCTTCAGATGGCTCATCGCCCTTGGCTACTGTCATGAAAGATACTGTGAAGCAGCGGCTCTCTTGGAATTCCTGCGCCGTACGTCACCCGAAGCAGCCGCAGTAAATCGTGACGAACCAACTCATCACGGGTGTATTTTGCCACTCTTGGCAGCCATGCCACAATCATCGGGTCTGTTTACCCAGATCCAGACGTCCGTCGAGGAGCCAACGTAGCAGGGATGACCATGAGTCGAAAACATGTCTTGGCGGTAGATACTAGGAGATCGCATCAAAGATGAGCACTCTGGTTGAGACAGGCCAGTAGTATGTGGGCTTGGACCGAGATGACTGGGGTAGTGCACGTTGGGCGAGGTAATGGTATAGACGTTATTACTTACTACGGTCTTGGAAATTCGGCCTCCGGGTGATCTCTAGAAGCTTGTTTTGTAATCGAGTTCTAGGCGGCTCGCTGGCTGGGAAAAGGAGATCTCTGGGCGTACTATATCGTAGACTAATTCGTAGCCCTGCTCTGCTTTCTCGCAAGAGTCTGTAGAATAGAGGGTTGTCTCCGAGATTGAGTAGAGTCTGGGAGCCCGGTTTCACCATCTGCCAAAATGCTCGTGAAGACTAATCATCGAATGAACACCTCCTTTCCCGCCGGGGAGAATTTTACAGGTAGACAGAGGAACAAATCCCTTAAACCCTGTATGCTGTCAATCTATACGTCCACTCGCCTGGTCCAGTTCCTACTGCCGTGCCTCACTCTCGCTTGCGCACGTCAATCTGTCAAACCCAAGCAGACGGAGTAGCCCATATGCCATCGCACTACTACGTACAGACACAGACTACGGATACACACGAATGTCAAAGCCACGCCTAGCTCCAACAGATTCTAGAACTCAAACCCCCCATCAGCAGGGCCTGTACGCCGGTTGACTCCACATAACAACCATAAATAACATGCGACTTCCCAGTTGCAATATGAGGCTTCAGGATCTTATCTCATCTTGGTATGTGTTGAGCACGGCCGTCCACTACGAGTGACTTACTCGCGATCCCTAACCCCGGGTCGAGGGCGCCTGAGTCGTGTAGCAGTGCCGTAGCCAAGGCCCTCTGACGGGAGAACAACGCTAAGCCACTGGGGAAGTGCGTCTTTTGCGCCCCCCTAATTCTCCATTCTTGTTGCCTCTCTAGCCTATGGAATCTCTCAATGTACGAAAGTTTAGATTTCGACGGGCGCGAAGCACCTATTGCGGATAGTTGCCAACTTACAGAAAGAATGCCAAGACACGAGAGTCTGGAAGAAGGAAAAGACTCACGCGACACATTACCACGTCCATCAAATCTCCCAAGATGAAATTCCCCGGCTGATTACCCGTTAAATTGCCCGCCCATCATCGCCATGAGGCAGCAACACATGGCTAGCCAATGTGCCCGTAGAGATGTATCCGTACGAATACTCCATACTGTAGGTAGCGGACTTTGAACTGAGCAGCTCAGCAGCCCACCTCCTAAAGTCTAAGGATACCTAGCCAACGGAAGGCCCGCCAAGAGGTGGATTGGAAACACCTCATCGCCAAGAGCACAGATCAAGCTCATATACTCGATGGGCTTTTAATAGCCCCAAACACTGCCCGCGCAGGCGCCAAGACCACCCCCAAGCAAAGCCGGTGCAGCAGCAGTAGCGAAAACTCGCGGACAGCATGCCGGCCCCCGTCCTTCGCTACTCCGTGGACTTTACGCCGTACTCAACCAAATAGGTTATTCAGAGTCGACAGTATCGGATTTTGCCGTACGCCAAGTAACGCAGAACGGACCTCCAGGTGAACAACCTAGGCCACCAGCCAATCCACAATACCACAGTACTCCGTATACTACTCCGTACACTTGTAATTTTGGCCGGTCTTTGAGGCATAATCATGTGCCTGACCACTTTTACCACCTGCTCACTGACCAAGTGGTTCAGGACAGCTCCGCTACGGATACTAGCAACCTCGAAAATAGCATCCTCCTTGTAACCACATCGAGCAGATCTCGAGCACTTTCCAAGAAGTCGCAAACTCTTGGTTAGTCTTGGTTAGCCAAAGTCTTGGTATTCCTCTTGCAAAGACACACCAGTCAACCTAGCAAGTCTACGGAAGAGGGCGGTGTCAACCTCAACAGACCCTTCATCCATGCCCCCCAAAGGCCTTGGCATAATGTTTCCAAAGTTTATCGCCTCCATCCCGTAGAATTGACTCAAGATGCAAGTTTCCGTGTAAACTGCTGTATAAGAAGAAGCTGATCATCCCGCCTTTTCTCACTCCTGTCATCCCATCACCACCATCATCATCCCACTTCACCCACACAACCCTCAACTCAACCTTCTCCCACAACCATCCAAACTTCCCTCCACCTCACACAACAAAAAACCGCCAAAATGCGCGCCGTCTTCGTCATCATCTCCCTCCTCGCCGCCACCGTCGCCGCCCGCTTCGATGGCCCTTGCACCGACACCATCTGCGGCGACTCCAAGGTCAACTGCGAGGCTGAGGGCCGCATCTGCGTCGGCTTCCCCAGCGTCGACCCCGAGAAGCGCCTCGGATGCACTTGCAGCATTGTCTAAAGGCACTGCGAGGCATTTCTTAGACATGATTTCCAGTTTCTACGCATGGTATGTGTGCCTTTCAAGTAGATTCTTCTTCTTCAAGGACGCTCATGGCTAACTCGATACCCATCAGATCAGCATTTGAAAGGTCTCTCATTTTTGGAAAGACTTGGAGTTTTTGGGAAAGATACAGGGACGAGGAACGTGAAAACCCATCATGACATGGCACAATACACAAAGGCGCTCGGAGAGAAGCGACGGAACCCACACAGCATGATATCCAAACAAAAATCAGCATAGAAAAATCTCACATACTACTTCTTCCTGTCCGTAACGCAACACATCTCTTCCATCCCCAAAGCCCATGATGCAATCCACGATCGCTCATCTGCCGTGATGTCCGTCCATCCTTCCCGGCGCCACACCCGCCCGCTTCCAATCGGCTACCCTTCTAGAATTCGCATAACCCGCCAAGACCCCAGACGCGATTCGAGGCGCTCGTCTCCCGCAGCCAAGACTCGTCCACCTCACCACCACCACCCCAACTCCCTCCTTCACACCCCCTTTCCATTCTCTTTCTATCGTGTATACACTCACATATACCTCCACCAAACAAACCCTCCCATCCCCAAATCCCCCTTCAAAATCCCCGACGGCTCCTCGGTCCCATTGAATCGGCGTCCTCCCCATCCCCGCTTACCCCCGAGACCCAACGCACCCGAGGGACCCGAATGCACGCAGCACGAAACCCACTTTGCCGAGATCGATCGGCACCGGGATCAAGACTCATCTGGCGCTGGGCACTTTACGGTAGGCGAACTAGCACACGGGACAGCGAAAGCCTTAGTAGAAGAGCACTTATCGTCGCTGGCACCGCCACTGCTAAGGAAGTAAGTGTTGGTGCTGAGTCCACTCCCCAACGACTGATTGGTAGAGAGAGGAAGCCTTATGGGGAGAGAGAGGTTACATTCGGGACCGCTCTCTGTATCGGTATCTCAATCGCATCTCTCTAGACAGGTGGAATCACTCTTGCGGGTAAGATGTATGTTATCGCAATCGGATCAAGTCTCGCGAGGTCGAATTCTTCCACACTCTACAGTCGTGATTCCTTGCTGTCACTATAGACTTGGCATCACAGCGACAAGAATCCGAGACAGCACTCAAGGGGGAAGAAGTTCCCCTTGACAACACCGCACATCGACCGTGATACTTCTTCTACACGTCGCAAGGAAACAAGGAATCCCATCCAAATGTGTAAACATTGAAGAGACTAAAAGTACTAGTACCAAATAAAAGTACATACAAATGAAAAGAGACCCACGATCTCAAATCCGAGACTCCCCATGGTTCCCGTTTTTCCCATTTTCTTTCTCCCAAAAGATCAAGTCTCGCGTGTGGTATCATCCCGCTCCCAAAAAGTTCGTCCCAGGACAAACGAAAACGCCAAAAAGGTCACAGGGTACTATACAAACCAACCAGATGTAATACAAGAAGAAGAAGAAAGAAGAAATCGGGTGATGAAGGAGAAGGAACTCACATCTTCCCCCATCCCCTAACAAACCCCCTCTGCGCCCCATTCACCCTCGCCAAGATCCCAAGCCCAACATCCTCACCTCCACCCCACCCGCCCCCGCGCTTTACGTTGATGCCGTACGCCATATCCCCGTCTCCCCTCACTCCATTGACGTCTTCCGCGCCCCTACGCTTCCTCACCCGCTCATACCCAATCTTGAACCCCATCAAGTGGCTCCCGTCCATGAAGCTGCGCTTCATCTCTTCCGTCGCCTGCCACTCCGCCCCACGGCCCAAGAACCCAAATACATTGCCGTCGGCCAGCAGCGCCGCCACGGAAGCGATACTGCACGGGTTCCGCGGGAGGATGGTATCCGTCCCGGGCGTCAGAAGCCACGCAACGAGCGTCAAGGCAACAAGGAGACCGAGCACGGACTGGATGATGCGTGTCGAGGCGGTGTCCTGCACCAGACGGCGCAGAGAGGTGACAGACGTCGATTCGAGCATGGCGGGGATAATCTGCTGCGCCGTCACGTCTGGGAGGCGACGACGGGAGTTGACGTTGAGGTTCTGAGCGCGCAGGATGCCGTGCTGCCGGACAATGGCATCCGCTACAAGACCGCTCTTGCCCAGGCCCGGATCGCCTAGGTTACCCGCGGGCACCGCGAATCGCGATGTGACGAGGGAGCTGAAGAACGGATCAAGCTGATTGCCTGTGGTGAGGTTGGCGAGGAGTCCGTACTGCAAGGGGAGCAGTCTTAACTTGATAGGCTTGGCGGTGTTTTCCTGGACGATGGGCGGGTAGGTGGTGTCCACGTGCAGCGAGGCGCCGGTGAGGCGGATCTTGGTAGTTACAGTCTCGAGCGTCTCGTTGCAGCCCATGGCTGAGATATAGCCCACTTGCATGGGGGTGCTGTCGGAAAGCTGACCCCAGACATAGGTGAAATCGGAGCACTGCGATGAAGCAGCGGACCGTGGTGTAGCGACGCCGAAGACGGAAGAGGGGGAGACGCCCGGCGGTAAGACGGCGTTGGACCGGATTGAAGGATCGAGGCACGGCTCACCGGCGATGTCGACCTTCATGTCCTGTGAAAACTGATTCGGCAAGTCAGGGACAGTAAAGTTTGTGTTGATCTCGGATTGCGGGTAGAGTCTGCAATCGAGCCGCGAGCGAAGGGCAGGGACCGTTACGATGATGGTTCCGGCGCCGTCCTGCATATCAAGGGGCTCCGATAGCTGCAGACTATTGAAGTTGAGGTCCTCAAAGGTAAACGATGGGAAGGTCAGGTTCGCGTCGAGAATCAGGGAGGCCAGAAGAGTATCGGTTGTACAGGTCGGACAAGGCGAGGATGCATTGATGAAGCTGTCGAGAGTCTGAAGGTTTACTGGCCGCGTAGATGGGATTGGTGTTGTACTGTAGAGGGCCCCAGAAAAGGTCGCCAGGAGCGAGGAGACAATCAGAGCGGTGGTGGTGAACACGACAGCGATATTTTGCGTTTTGACGGCATCGAACAGGATTCTATGTTTGGACTTGTCCATGAAGTCAAGGCGAACCGTCGTTTCAAAGGACCCCCCTTCTTTCAGCTTCGCATACGGCGCAAGGCATCGTGTCGCGCAGTCCGCGGCGGCGAGGTACAGCACCACAAGACCAAAAATGATTCCAGTCCCTGTTGTCCATAGAAAGTGCTTGTCGGTATTGGCCTTGGTCGTCGCGATGCCGGCGTGTGCGTTGGAAATACGAAGCACAACTTCAAGGGCAACAATCATGCCAATCATAGTCACCACGGCGGCGAACCTTGCCCATGGATTCAGCGGCAGCGGATGCTTCCAGTCGGCGTTTCGTACAAACTCAACCGGCTGGTTCTGAGGGGGCGGAGCCCCCCCAAAGATCTTGAAGTATCCTCTCGCCTCCTTTTCGGCCTTTTCGTAGGGCTCGACGCCGGTATAGTAGTTCGTTCCGAGCAGCTTCTCTCGTACGACTGATGTGTCGGCAGCACCCGTGCCGCGTAGACACTGAAGAAGCTGGCGACTATGAGCGAGGAGGGTGGCCATGTTGATAATGGTGTTTGGGTCGCGGGGCAGAAAGCCTCTTGCTGGCGCGAGGGCAATTGCAGCCAACACCAACATTAGAACGAAGCCCAGTAGGCCAGAAAGGAGATGCGCTGGTATTTGGCGAACATTGAGCCGCTCTCCAATAATGATGGCCGTACCGGTGGATTTCTCCTGCGTCTCGCCCATTAGTGAGCTACGTGCGACGAGAGCAGTATACTGCTTCCAGTACGCTGTCGAGATCTGGGTCAGGTTGTCCGTCTTCAGGAACGTCTCGATTGGAGGAAGCCCGTAGTCCTTGATCTGCATAGCGACAGCCGAGTTCATGACGGCGTCGGAAGCAACAATGGCGATGCCGGGGTACCGACTGTTGATGTTTGGTATCGCTGCGAGGATCTGCGAATCAGTGGGATAGGAGTTGAAGTGTCCTTGTACAATGTCCCAAGGATGGACCAGCTCGAGGGTCTTGTTCGCTGCAGAGCGGTTTCGTTCGATCTTGATGAGTTGCGTGTTGTTCTTTGTGACATGAACCCTCGTGAGGAAGTATGATGGGCGGCATATCAGTGCTGCAGACCTTGAAACAGCACCCGAAATGGGCACATTGAAAATGTCGCTCTCCGTTGGCACACTGGATTCGTTAATCTGAATGGCTCCCGTCATGACGACCACCCTTCCATCGTCTGGGAAGGGTGAGTTTCCGCACGTGCCAGCCTGGAATGCCATGAAGAAGGTAGGGAGCGTGAAGCCAATCAGCGCCATATTCGGGATGGTTTGCGTCAAGGTGCAATTCGGAGTCGAGACAGTGGCGTTGAGCTGAACGTCCGAAGCTTGGATGAACTGGACACCGTTCAAGGTGAACTGTGCTGGCTCACACTCGATTTCGGATTGGAAGCCGTCGACGTTGGTCCTCAGCTCAGCAGTCGCGGGCAAGTCCGCAGAAAACGACTGGAAGGCGAATTCTTTGGAAGTACCATCCGGGAAGTTGAGACCTTTCGTCTGGAGAGCTGTCATCGTGAAGAAAGGCAGGGCACCAGCATTCCGTAGCCCGGTGGGATCGTTCACAAACGTGTTGTGTAGGTTCAAACTCGCGCCCCGGGCAGTCACAATCTGGAACGTTGGGCTGACGAGCGCCACGGCGATGACGATAATGAGTTTGAGCGTCAGACCGACAGACGCCGTGGCTGCAACGAGCCAGTCCCGGTTCTTTGTCGCTTTCGCAATGGTCCATGGCTCAAACATGAAGACGTAGTCGAGCATCAGGGTCCTGTCCACACTCGCAGGTCCCTTTGCCATCCGAAGCCACGGCGCGCTGGCTTTTGCCTGGTGTTCGGGTCTCGCCCATAGTGCGGCGATACAGGTGAAAATGAAGGCCGACCCGTACTGCCATAGATATCTGAACCCATGGTCTGGCGAACCGAGTCCTCCTCTTTTGTTTGATAGGTCCAACACGGCTTCTACGGTTACCATCAGCCCGGCGAAGAGGACCGCAAACGAGCTGAGAACCCTCCTTTGGAGATAAAACGGTCGATACGGCAGAGCGACGTCGATTAACCCATTTCGTTTTCGTACGTCATCGGAATCGGCCGTGGTTGGTGGTGTCGAGGCGATTGGTCGTGGTGGTTGAACTCGTTGTATTCGTGGGGCCGGTGGTATTTGTTGCGCGGGCGGAGGTGGCCTGACTCCTGGCACCGCTGGCCTTTGGGCATTTATCGGAGGAAAAGTTGCCTGGCGAGGCGTTAATGAGTATCGAGGGTTGGCCCTCGGCGGTTTGCCTGGGCTACTGATGGTGATTTCGGGCACCGGTAGCGGTCTTGGTCTATCGGCATCGCTGCTGCTACCTGACGAGGACGGTTCTATTATTGAGGGACGCGGCGTGCTAAAGGAACGGGAGTGACTGGTATACGGCCGGGCGACGACGTCCCCTTGCGGCAGCGGCGGCGGCGGCGTATTTGATTCTGCTACATAACGATGATAGGAGTCCATGCCATTCGTGGTCTGCTTGCCTACTCTGCGGGGCACGTTTGCCCTAGCCCTTGCCTCAGATGCCATTGATCAGAGGAGACGAAGGCAGGCGAGATTGTCTTCTCGAGCAACAGACAAGTCCAGTCGGGGGAGCTGAGGGAAGGGAGACGGGGTCTAGCGTCAACTGAAATTCATCGTCTTCCGAGTGTCGTTGTGGTGTTTGGTGTCCCAAGCGGCTCTGTTTGTTTTGTTTCTCGTTGGGTCGCCCCCTTAGCGGGAGGAAACGAAGATCAATGGTCGGGGTGTTTGTCGATCCTCTTGATTAGAATTGGGATTAAGAGCGCGCTTGTTGCGAGTAAATTGAGGCGAAGAACGGTAGACAAGAGCGGAGAAGGCGGGCAGTAAGATGGTGGTAGCTAGCAAAGCCAGCAAGCCAGCACGGAGCGAGAGTGTGTGGTGGCAACGACCTAGCTTGTCTGACGAACTGGAACCTTGGATGAGCCGCAGGGAAGAGTTGCCCGGCGCCGTGTTACTCTATACGCGCACTTTTGCATGAATAATGTTTGGGAATCCGGATGGGATTTTCTCTCAAGTCGGCCTCTCATTGACTGGTACCAGCCCAGGGTGAGGCAAGTCGGTAACAGTCGAATAAGAATATTAAGAACAAGGGAAGGGGGGAAATAGAGACCCAATCTAAGGGCTCGGAAGGAGAAGGGAAGGGAACAGCCTTGCTCCAACCCCGCGGACGATCACAGGTTCTCGCATGATATAAGAGAAGTAATCAGGAACCCGAACGCTTCTTAGACGGGAAGAAGGGAAGAGGGGTGGAGGGGCAGCGGTGGGCGGGGAAGACGCCGCTCGGCTGGTACGCCAGTCAGTCCTGCCAGCCTGCCCATCAAAGATCGTGCCGAGCTGTCTTGTGTCGCTGTCTTCTGTCACCTCGGCGTTCCAAGTTCTCTGATGGTGGCTTTCATCCCAATACGGGGTTAGGAGGGATATGTTACTGCCGCTTGGCAGACAACGACTTGTCGACTTTGCCAGGAAACTTCAAGCACGGCCTGGGGAGACAGACGTGCAGAGGCAACGGGCCAGTTTCAGAAGCAGGTTGGTCGGGCGCCCGTGGGGGATGTGAGGCTGGCTGAACGGGCGATGTTGAGGAAGTTGAAGATGATTGGACAAAGGTCATGAGAGGTCGTCGGGAGAGGCATTGGAGGCTAACGGGAGGTTAATGTTATTGGTCCCGACTGGGCACGGTGAAACTGCCGCGTGTGGCGGCTGTGTGACAGAGTGTCACAGACCCCGGTTTCGACGTGTGCTTGTCTTGTCCCCTCGACTCCTGTCGATTGTGTTAGAGTGTCCAAACTGAAGAAAAAGAGTCCACTTAGACTTCTTCTTCTTCTTCCTCTTCTTCAGTTCTTCCCACCTGCTTTACATTAGAGTATGCTGCCCAGTTGCCGTGCGGCGAAACGGACAGACCCGACCATGTTGCGAGCTGGGTGTTGCTTCCACTCCACCCAACCAACAGAGGAAGAACGTGGAGATTGGAGAGTGATCTGCAGCTAGCAGGGACACGCAGACGAGCGTAAAGAGACCACCCAGGGTCAACAAGGGGGTGCTGATGGTTTGTCCAGAGTTTCCCTTCGATAGGAAATCGTCCAATTGGAAACGTCAGGAGAAACCACAATCATCATCGAAAGGGGGTTTGACACCGTCCGGATGTATTGACTGAAAGCAGTGGCAGTTTGCGCTCAACTCAACGGAGGAGAGTCGTGCCCTGAGGTGTCACGAAAAGAAAAGATGAAACAGGAACATCTCTTCCGGCGCATTCGAGGAGATGAGGTCGGATCGGAATGGACGATACGTACCGATTAATCCGATCCCCCGTCTTCTCGGTGGGAGGTTTTGAAGAAATACGTACCCGCAAGCTGCAGCCAGACCTGCGAGCAAAGCTTAAGGTACCTTAGAAGTTAGGTACCTTACCAAAGTGCATGCCTCAGTCGCTTCACTGCTCAAAGTGCCCCATAGCTGCACATCAACCTGCAGAAAGACGCACCTCAAAATAAGCCTTGTCGTACTCGCATTCAATCAAGTATAACCGTCCGAACGGCCATTGACTAAAGTACGCAGGCGAGCGGTCTTGTGGATTCATCATGAAAGCGCAGTGTTTTCTTACGCGGTGCTGAGCGTTGAGCGCCTCTAAAGGTATGGGAATCGATACTACTCCGTATGGTTACTATCATCACCATCTCCCTAAGCTACCTCCATAGCCCATCCAATTGAACTCTGAGTTTTCGGTATCGCTTTATAGCTCCTACAAGAATCGCATACACTGCTACCCTTAAACTTCTCCCCAAGTTTTGGCACTGTTGCAAACGCCCACCAGGCAGAAAAGGGAATTGTAATCAGGAGAGTTATCCTGCCCACCCGTGATCTTGCAATTTTGCTGGCCACCCGAACCAACCAGTCGGAATATCAAGTCATGTCATCGGCTCCCTCGTTGATCCGCGTATCCCACGGGCAGAGTTCGCCATCTTCGCTGCCATGCCTCGCCTGGGTCCCAAGTCCCGAGTAATCTGCCCGATGGGATCTCTTCAATCCAAGTCTCGAACCCCCCAAAAACATGGACCACCTACAGGAGTTCGCCAGTCTGCTGCACTGGTCCAAACCTTTTTCTTCTCACAGGGCGGACCGTCGCAGCCGATAGAACCGCTCGCCACTCGTCCCAGTGCCTACCTACCCCGCGGGGTGACACGTGCATACCGAACCCGACACCATCGCCACTTGATAGTTCGGTCGGGCGTGAACAACTATGACGGTCAGGCCATTTCCCAAAGGCTTTGACGCCCCGTAGTTGGACGACAACAAGACGACACCGCATTGCTGACTCGTCGTCACATATTGAACTCTGCTCAGCTTCTCACGCCATGGCCTTCGTGCCCATCTCCATCAGAAAGGATAGGCAGCAAAACACCTAGATACTGGGCAGACTGGGCGATGATCAGGTCCGATGAGAACTGACGAGGACCAAACCATTCCGAAAGGGTGGAGATCGGATTGACTGACAACCATGAGACACTCCTAATAATACACACACAGACTAGGTATACATAAGTAAGGTGAACTTGACCAGACCATGGTGACACACGGCCTCCGGCAGTCAATCATCTGTGTTTCGTTTCTTCTCGGCCCCCTCTTCCGGCCCCTCGTCTAAAAATCCTGACTGCTTTTGTACAAGATAGGATGCAAATGGTAGGTAACGAAAATCAGTTACCCTGGGTATATAATGCGGAAGCCCTAAGTTGTTTCGAACAATGGCGACCGTCGCAATCGTGCCATCATAATGCAGTCGTCGCCCGCAGAACGCCAAAATGCCTGTGTTTCGCCAGTCGTTAGGTAGTAGTGTGTTTCCTCCCTCCCAGGCAGGGCAGGGCGGCCTCTGAGTGCTCCTGCTCTCCTGGCTGATACGCTCTTCACTCGGATCGTTGCGGCGGTGGAGATTCCATGACTCGCTGGAGCCGCTGGGGTTTCGCTGGGTCTCGCTCGATCTCTCGCCCCACGTCGGATATCCTGGGGCATCATCGGCCGTGGAGGTGTCCCATATTTCACTCGTTTAGCCTGACCCTGCCGTCGCTGAGTGTCATCGAGCAAAGCTCGCCGTATCGTGGCCATGTTCATGTAATCGTCGTTCCAATCCTCACTTTTCCATCATCAAATTCCGTATTTCTCCGGGTTCCAGCTGCGGGCATCGATGATATTCTTGGCTTCGGCCTTGACAAGAAAGCCTGCATCGCAGTAGGACATTTCTGGTCGGGCAATTTCGGGCGGGTAATGCTAGGTCAGCCGTTAGCGATAACTCCGAAAAGAGTAGTGTGATGTGTGAGCATACCAGTCGCATGCAGCACGCGTCCACCCAGCCCGTCGCGCAAGTTCCCAGATCCTGTCCAAACTTTGTCTTGTATTTGCCTCCGTTGGCCAATTCGCAGTCGGTGCCTACTCTCAGCTTGTTGTCGATTGAGCCCTTACAGCAGTGCGGCTGCAGGGTGATGAAGGGGCTGGCGAGCTTGTCGGCGGGCGGGTACGGATAACAGTGGAACGGCTCGCTCTGGGCGAGGATGACGGGTAGTCCGAATATCAAGAATAACGTGACCAGAAAGGCCGAAAAGCCCAGCGGGCGATGCATCTTTGCAGGGATAAACGAGTGTATGCGAACGACGATAGCAGAGGATGCGACGGCGGCGAAGAAGCGCGCAATGTGATTGTGAAGCTTTTGAAGGACTTCGTAGATGGGCCGGGGGAGGTGTTGGGCCAGCAGGTGTAGATAAGTGGCCGTAATGGCGAGGATTGGGGGTGGCGACGACGACGAAGGTGGCATTCTAGCTACCTAAATGGACTTCTATTAATGGGACCCTCTTTGTTCGACGAGACCAGCTGACAGGCACGCAGCCAGATAGATTGACTGCGACCAGCAATACCTAGGCCGGAGTAGGAGCGGGTCGCCAGAAGGCCTGTTTGAGTGGAACGTCGAGGTTGCAAGGGCGAGCCAAGCAGGCCGCAGGCGTAAGCAGGTGTGTGCAGGCTGACTATCCGTACCTTCCAGCTTCGACTGGGATCTCCAAGTCACCGTAGGTATATCGCGGCGGGCGATACGACGTGGACTTTTTCCCTCGAGGGACCAAAGGGGCCCCGGGATGGAGACTTGGAGGGCGTGCTAGTGCTGCTTGATGACGCCGGGACTAGTGAGTGGCCTCTGCGGAAGGGAGGGGAGGGGAGCGTCGCAGCGTTCTGAGCTTAAAGTGTGGCGCTGCCGGGACTATCGCCGTTGAGAAGGGTGTGAAATGCGCAGCGAAGTGACGGTGGACGCGTGGAGGGGTGGTGAGCGCGGCCAGGATGTGGTTGGCGTTTGATAAGACGTTTTGCGGAGTACAGATGCTTTCTCGAGGAAATCGAAGAGCGCGACAACGGGAACGACTGGAGTAATTGGAATGACTAGAAGTCTGGCAGAGGAGGAGTATGGCTTCGATGGAGGGAGGATCGCTGGAGTGTGGTCGAGTGCCGGAGAGTTTCGCGTTGGGAAGGGCGCAATCCAGGGAGATGGGACCGAAGTGGAAACGGCCTGATGGAGGGGGATCGCAGTCGATGAGATGCTTGACGTTGCCGAGTTGCGATGAAAGAACGCGCAGTCCACCCTCTACGACAAACTGGAGAGACAGACAGCGAGAGGCTACCGTATGAAGGTTTACGGATACAGGTGTGTAGTGTGTACGGTTTGAAATGAGGATCAAGTTTGTGGAAGTCACGAACATTGCAGAGAAGGAGGAAAGGATAGGAGCGCAGTCACGTTTGTTTGGATGAACCCCAAAGAAGAAGCCACGGCTAAAGGTGGCCGTCAGCCAAGCATTCACGGCAAGCGAGAAGGAGCCAAGGCTAAACTAACAGGAAGGAACCACACAGCATTGGGGCCACGATGGGAAGGATTCGCGGCGACACAGAAGGAAGGAGGCGAGCACACGAGGTAGGTACCCTGGGGAGAAACAAGCAAAGGGAAAGAGCAGCGGTCGTGAGGCAAGCACGCAGGTATGGTGGAGACTGGAGAGAGAGGTAGAGAAGGCAAGAGCACTTCGTACCTTCTCCCAAGTACCCAGGGCGAGACCGGGCGACAAATGCTGGGCGCGCATGAGATGAGAAGGCAAGAGAAGAAGAAAAAAAATGGCAGGGACGAAAGTTCGGTGCTACAAACAGCCGAAAAGGGACAGACAGAAAAGTCTCAAATGGCTGCCTGCTGGTGTCTCTTTTTCGAATGTCCTTTTCAGCCATATCCCGCGATTAAAATTGCGCCAGTAAGCACCAAGACGAATTGACAAACCAACTGCAAAGTTGACCCAGAAACTCCACACAAGGTCACAATGCGTCGTCCAACGAGAAGTCATTACACGAAAGCTCCTTCGAGTCTCCAAATCAGAAAAAGACCCAATTTGATGCGTATTTCCAACTCGTCGTTGCCAGGTTGGCCTCGGACTAGAACCCATTTGGAGCTCTCGCATACCTCTGCCCGCTTAGCCGGGCGTTTTCCCCCGCCTGTTGCGCCGCACGCGAGCCGCCAGTGTCCATCGTGCACCACCTCACCACATCGTGGTAAAAAGTGACATTGGGATTTGCGGCACAGCAAGCAGGGTCCAGCATTTTTTTCTTTTCTCGCTTTTTTTTCTTTCCTACTCTCCCTGTGTTAAACGAAAGTTCTTTTCGGCCGGTGGGTGGATAATCTCACTCAACTCAAAAAGAGAGGATCATCTCATTCAAATGAAGCGGTACATCTTAACTTGAGCCAATGACTCGATTAAGGAACGAGATTAATAGGGCGTTCAATGTTGACTGAAATATAGTTGCCCAAAACCCCCAGTTCGCCGCATGTTCTCAGATGACAGTTCAAATCTTCCGAGCAAAGGGCAACAGACCGCAGCAACTGAACATTGAGAAGGGGGGGAAAGAAGAAGAACACCGCATACGTTGTCTGTTCTTCTCTGGACACTTTTTCTCTTCCTTCAAGGGGGTTCCCTGGCGTCACTCATTCATCCCTGGTCCTTCCATGCAAGGGCCAAGGGCCAGGCCGAATCCCACCAATCCACCTCTCTAATCCGTCTTCTGAGCACCGTCATTCTGATTGGTTATCAATCACATGTGGATAGGGACTAGCAATCCACTCTTGTGCCCTATCAGGCGAGCCACGAATCAGATGCGCCCGCCTCACTCCCATTTCCCTAGAGGCACGGGCCCGTCTGCAGACCCGGCCCCCGATTAAGGTTATCCGGCCGGCCACTTCTCACGCTTCGCCGGTGACGCCGGAAAGAACGCCAAGACCCAACCTTTTGGGTCCGGCCTTCCCAACCTGCCATCGGGCGAATCGGCCCTCACAATTGGTACCTTCCGTCCAAAGATTCCCTGACGCTGATTACGTGCTATCTTCAGCCACACACCACCAATTTCCACGATCACTCTCTCCGCCTGCGCTCTTCTCACTCACGCCAACTGACCTCGAACTCAACGAACAATCCTCGTCGTCCGAAATAATTACCGGTGTGATGAGCACCTCTCTACGGAGTATACCAAAAGTCTATCGCCCATGAATTGCAGATAACATCTGGCCATGCCCGTTCGCTGTCACTTATCCCAATGTGACTGACCATTTTACCAGTGAAATGATTCAGTGCAAAGACGCCATTCACTCTTCGGCCTGCAGCTTGTTCCGTACTCCGACGCAATCTTTCTGACGGATATAATGGAGCTGATTATCCCATATCATCCATTAAACTTTTTCTCGATATTTCGAGAGAAAACTTTGTTGCAATCGCCAGCGCCGATCCGAATTTGTCTGCGCTGGAAGCATCATATTGATTGTCTGTCATCAATCCAACGCAGCCAGTACCACGACTTTGGGGAACCAGCAATCTAGCAATGCCGTCATGATTATGATAACCAACAAATTCTTTGCCTCGGGACGATTTCCCGCCGGTGCAACGATCCACCCACAGGAGAAACTGTCTTTAAGTGAGGAACGGGTTTCGGTCAGCTGAATCCGGCAACCGGTGTAACAAGGGACACCCTGAAATGGGGGCGGCCCTCCAATCGTCAGGGGTCCTGAAGCTGACGATAGCTGACTATCCGTAGGTCGTGCTGACTGTACGCTTGTGAAGGGACCCTGAATGTCACATTTTGTATTGGACGGCAGTCCTTGTTAACTACCTTAGAGGCCCCTCTATCTGTCTACGCATCCCGTCTAGGGCAATGAAGGGACGAGAGCTTTGATTAACCAACATCCGTGTGGCCTCTACCTCGCCGGCCCAGCATTGGCCGTTATTATCCTACACGCCCTCACATGCTCAAGCTCTCCCGGTTACAATAATGAGAATTAAGTACTGGTGGATGAGGCGGAGCTACGTGTATTCTTGAAAGCCGGGACACTAGCAAACCGAATCCTCTGAGGATACAGGTTCCTGTCCATTATCTTAGTAGAGGTTTCCGCGGGCAGCAGGTATTCAATATACAAAGAAGTCCAGTTACCACCCGAACTTTCACGAGAAACTCCAATGACTCCGCGAACGCCTTTCCCTCCGTCTTATTCTGACCCTACCACCAGACAACACACCACCCAAACCCCCTACCCCCAAAGCAACCCCCCCCCAAACCTCATCAACAACCCACACTCCAACAAGCACAACAAACCCAAACATCGAATCCCTCCTCCCCCGTTCCGCCCCCTCCCCACTCTTCTTCCCAACCCTCACCGGCCCCGCACCCCCCGTCACCGGCGGCACAACCCCACCGGCCCCCGAAGAAACCGGAGGACCCCTCTCCTTCGGATAACACTTCCCCATCCAACACTTCTCATCCCGACTACACCCGCCCTGAACGCCGCAACACTCTCCACTCACGCACATCCCGCCGCAAAGCTTCTTGCCGCGCGAGCAGCAGACCCCGATGGCGGCGTCGACGCAGTCGAAGCCCTGGGCGCAGCAGCCTGGTCCGCAGCAGGGCATTGATTTTGTGCAGCAGTTCCAGTTGCGGGGGAGGTTGCAGGATACTATGAGAGGTGTTAGCGTGGTGATTCTGAAAGGCAATGTGAGACGGATGTGATGGGAATAAGATACGGAGAAGGGAGGGAAGGGGATATATACCTGTTCCCTTGGGACATGTGTCTGGGTCGTCGACGGAGCGCGCTGCATAGAGGGCCGGGCTGCCGACTTCCCATTCTATGATGGAGACGGCCGGGTCTCGTCCGTAGGGAGTGTGGCCACATGAGGGCGTTTCCCGCGGTGGCTGTTCGTATGAGGGCTCTCTGTACGAAGGTTGTTCGCGTGGCTGCTCGTAATGCGAGGGTTCTTCCGGCGAGTCTTCGCGTGGCGTCTCACTGTAGGGTGTCTCTTCGTAAGGTGACTGCTCATACGGTACCTCGCCAACTCGCGGTGCTGATGGCTGGTAGCCCTGCGATGCCTCTTGAGGCATGGCGAGACATATCGAGCCAACGGCCAACGCTGCCCCGAGTATCCGGGATGATCGACTGAACTTCATTCTTTCCAAAGTATTATTCGCAACTCCGTCGTGGAGAACCTGATGATTTGGTAATGGTGGTTTGTGGGGTGTGCAACGACAATCCAAGGTGTTGTGTTGTTATAAGAGCCCGTATCGTGAAGTGCAATGAATCACTTGAAGGAAAGTCCAATCAATAATCTTTGCGACAAAACGATTCTGATTCACCACATTGCTTGTTGTGGGATTTTGTTTGGTATTATCAAGCCCGCCATCTATGCAACTCCGAAAGCTCCCCAAATCCCATCCATCCACCTTTACGTCCAAACCCGGAGATAGCTGTAACTTAGACCTTTCCAGCATCCTCCTTCAGCGACACAATACGGTTGAGAATAATCTTCTCGTCGGTACTGTCAGAATCAATGGCCTATTGGGGGTGTTAGTCCGTCTGTTAAAATTTCGTTATTCACTCGGGAGTGGCTTACAAAGTAGGCAATGCGCGTCGCCTGAAAACGAACACTCTCAGGTCCGCCCTTGCCGAGCTCGCTCTCACCCGCAGCCTCAGGCCAGGGTGCACGTCTCTTGACCTCATCGAAGCCGCTCTCGATGAGCGCATCAGGGTAGATGACCTCGCTCTCGGGGTTGATATCGTTGAGGAAGCCGCCCTCGGCGTCGTCGGGCTTCTCGCTCTTGAACAAAGAGTTGTGGATACGGGCCTCTACCTTCTTGGTACCCTCGGTACCAACCCAGTTGATGAAGGCCTTGGGCTTCTTCGTCTCCTTGTCATAGACAGCGCGGATCTCGGTCACCTTTCCTGTCGTCTCATCCTTGGTGTAGGATGTAGCCTTGATGGGGAAGGGGGCGTTGAGCAGACCGACGGTCTTGTTGGGTGCCAGACGGAAGTAATCCTTGCTGTCGACCTCTCTGAAATCGGCGCGGTCGATGTAGACAGTCGGGGTGAACTTGATCGTGTGCGAACCCATGTTGGGGTCCTTGGGAGAGAACGCAAGTTCCACGTCAGTAGCCTCAGCGTCTTCGATGACAACCGGGATGGGGTCCAAGACCATCATCAATCTGGGAACGGTCCGTTCGAGGTACTTGCGCACAGTCTGCTCGAAACGCTTGATCTGGATGACAGAGACAGACGTCGTGACTCCCAGCTCGTTAACGAAGTCGAGAATCGCGCGAGGGGGCACACCACGGCGCTTGATACCGATCAGAGTGTACAGACGGGGATCGTCCCAGCCACGCACAATCTTCTCCTCAACCAGCTTGAGAATCTTTCTCTTTGACAAAACGGTACCCGTGATACCCAGACGACCGTACTCGCGCTGCATCGGCTCGTAAACGCCGAGAGTCTTGTTGAGCCACTCGTACGAAACACGGCTCTGGACGAATTCTGTTGTACAGAGTGAGTGAGTGATGCCCTCAAAGCTATCACACAAGCAGTGCGTGAAGTCGTATGTCGGGTAGATCTTCCAATCCCATCCTGTGCGGTGGTGAGGCGTGTCGGTCTTAATGCGGTATGCGGCGAGATCCCACATCTGGGGGTTGCCGTCGGTGATATCCTGCTTCATGCGCAAGAAGGCTTCCCTAGGCTTGTACTTGCCGTCCTTCATATCTCTGAACTTCTGCAGGTTCTCCTCGACGGTGTGGTTCGCGTGCTCGCATCGGAATCTAGGAGAAGCGCCCTTCTCACCGCCACGCTGGAGCTTGATCTCGGTGTCTAAGGTTGACTGATTAGCAAACGGAGAGCAGGTAGTATCTGATGCAGAAGATGACCTCACCACCGCAGTAGCATACGTATGCCTTCTCCAACGTAATCATCTTCTCTGCCAAATCGTACAGCTTCTGGAAGTTGTCACTCGAGTACGTGATCTTGTACGGTGTGAAACCCAGCCAGCTGATCATCTCCTCAATGGCCGTGAAGTATCTCTCCTCCTCCTTCTCGGGGTTCGTATCGTCGAATCTCAGGTAGCAGACACCTCCGTGGTGCTTGGCGAAACCGAAGTTGACGGCGATGGCCTTGGCATGGCCAATGTGCAAGCTAGGGGAAAGACGTCAATGGCGTGACAAAGATAAGCATTGGGGCTCACGTACTAGCCATTGGGCTCAGGAGGGAAACGCGTCACGACATTCTCAGACGGCCTCTCCTTGTACACCTCCTGGAGGAAGCCCTGCTTGAACATGGCTTCCGGGTCGAGGACGACCTCCTCAGGCTTCGCCTTGGGCTTTGGGGCGGGCTTGCTGTCGCCAGCACCAGCCGCCTTTGCGACAGCATCCTTGGCAGCCTTTGCCTTTTCCGTGGCGGCCTTCTTCGCTCGCTTTGCCAGTCTCTTCTTCAGCTCGCCCTTGCTGACCATCTCTCCCGTCTCCTCGTCGAGCTGGAGCTTGGCCGTCGACTCGGCCAACTTGGCGGTGGGGTCCGCAGCAGCGTCCGCCATGATTGCGGTGTTCGGTCGGAGGTAAAGGGTTTTTGATAGGTAAGCTTGGTCAAAGATAAAGAGAACCTTGCGGTCGTTCAATTGTTGAAATTCGTTCAATTGGGTTCCACGAGATGCTCACGTCGTGGAAAATGTGTGGTTGTGGTGGCGGGGCAACACTCCAGGTCTTCTTTTGCGGCGGGGATGACTCAAATGGACCCAACGAGGGGTCATTGCACTGGCACAGCGTGCCTCCCTCAACTTGGGCCTGCAACACGCGACAAAGAACCGATAAGATAACGAACACCCGTATCTTACCTTATCGGTCAGCGATAAGGCACCTCGAAGGACTTGGGGTCGCTGAGGTTTTACGACCCTTTCAAAATGTCTCGATGGCCAGCTCTGAATTCTCTCGCCTTCAACTCAAAAAGGCAATGCGGTTGTGTTATGAATAGTAAGATTCATCCTTTTCAGCATTTCACACTCTCGGCTTCCTTGCATTCCAAGGAAACAACTCATTAAAGATACACGTTCGTGACCTCAGGGGTACATACCCCACTGCCGATAACAGTGCGATAAGCTGCCAACAGCTTTGGACCAAGCTCCCATTGAGCTCGAAATAGCGCGGGGTCTTTCGTCATGGGCTCCCACCTCTCCTGCTTCCAGTCGGCTGCTTCTTTGTCACCAACACCTCAAAAGCAGCCCGCCGCGCCCGCTCCTAGACCTGCCAAATTATCGACACCAAACCCGAATCAGCAATTTTGAAATTCGCCTATGCCAATCCGTCAAGCAGTCAAAATGGTCACCACCGCTGTCGCCGACATCCCCACCGTCGAGCTCCTCTACAAGATCGGCCAGATCCATGCCACCTCGAAGGCCATCTTCCCCCACAATGCGTCGCACAACCAAAAAGTCGCTGTTGTTCGAGGCGACATCACCACCCTCGCCGTCGATGCAATTGTCAATGCCGCGAATAAGAGTCTTCTCGGAGGAGGCGGCGTCGACGGCGCGATCCACCGCGCAGCCGGCCGAGGACTGCTCCAGGAGTGCAGGACCCTGAACGGATGCGTCACCGGTTCCGCCAAGATCACAGGCGCCTACAACCTCCCTAGCAAGAAGATCATCCACGCCGTCGGCCCCATTTACGACGAGCTTAACCCCGACGACTCCGAAGCGAAGCTTGCGGGTTGCTACAGCACCAGCTTGAAGCTCGCTGTCCAGAACGGCTGTCGCAGTATCGCTTTCAGCGCGCTGAGCACCGGCGTCTACGGCTACCCGAGCACGGAGGCGGCTCCCGTTGCTGTTGAGGTTGTCAGAGAGTTCCTTGACGGAGAGGATGGCGATAAGCTGGATAAGATTGTCTTTTGCACCTTTGAGATGAAGGACGTCAGGGCCTACAACGAGACCCTTCCGTATGTGCAGATCTTGAAACTCCTTTGCATAGTAACTTGTCTTGCTAACATTCGTTCAACAGTGTCTTCTTCCCTCCCGACGACCAGCCAGCCACCAAGGAGAAGACCGAGGCCGGCCCTTCCAAGAAGGAAACAGAGGAGGCAAAAGCTATCGCGGCTGAGTTGCCCAGCGTTCCCAAGTCTGACCCTTCCCAGTAAAACGCCGTTCACGCCGAAACACACCTGCAGTTGGCCGGCGCGTCACTAAGGTACTCACGATACTACGACTGGACACCATGATGGCTTAGGGAGTTTGTGGAATTATACCAGGAAAAAGCGAGCCGCTTAATATACCACCGTGCATCGATACAGAATGACTATGACAATAGAGTTTGGGGGCCTTTTTTGGCAACTATGATCGACCTCGAACTTTCTTTGGGTTCGTGTCTTCCCTGTAAACCTTCGTATCCCGTCGGTCAAATACTCAAATTGCCCACGTGACCCACGTAAATCCAACTTCAATGTCAAAGAAACATACGATAGAGCTCTAACATACGATAGAGCCTCGGTTCCAAATTCATTCTTTCGTGTTGTATGAGCAAGATGCACCATGCTTGTCCTGCATCGAGGGATTCCTACAGTTGCGACATCAAAAGTTACCCGCAGAAATATCAGATTGAAAACTGCGAGTTGAGCGGTTCCGCGAGAAACTTTGATTTAGCTTTGACTTCCCTTGTGTTTTCTTTATTAGACCCATCCAGCATGGAATACGCGTATCTTTTACCAATGCTAAAATAGGCAAGACCAAATATCAACCGAGGCAGAGAGTGCAAAGAAGTTCGTTTAAAAAGGTTGCTCAAAACCTAATTACTATTTATTAAATGATTACGAAGATATGAAATTTCGGAGCAGGCCATTCGAACGCGTGCTGCTGTATCATATTTGATGCTAACGAATATCATAAATGTCGTAAATGAGCCTGAATTCATTTTCGCCTATCTAAGTACGCAACATGTGATGTCTCAGGCAAGATCGACCTTCACTACCTTATCCATTGCAGTCTAGAGACACTCGAGCGAGTGTAGTTGATCCTCAGTGTTTGGTACCACTGTTCATTGGATATTCAAGGACAGCCTCCATCAATTACAATCGGAACTAGAGTCAAACCAGGGTCTAAAACACTAGTGTTCTTTAGGTAAGTTTAAACCGCCGTTAATTGCGAGGACTTTTGTCTTTGACCTAACTCCATTTGATGCATGTCACGAGGAAACAGTTAAGTAATAGTCTAAGGCACAGGTAAACAGCAGCTGAAAGCTCACATGCAGATTGAACTTTATGCCAATGATACCTTTTTTCCATGCCTCGACGCTGTGCGATTGTTTTGACAATCGGAATGCCAGCAGAATTCGATGAAGGCCTGAATCGAACAAAATGACATGGACAAGATCAGGGTGGGGAATGCCCAGATATGCTCCCCATTATCGCGTGGCCGGGCCGAGAGCATCGCCAGGCACAGATGAGATGATGAGATCACCGTTGACCGTTGCCAATGGTGTGAATTGCGACACTGACACGGCACTTGTTTGCCGCGGGACCAGGGACCTTTGCCTACCGGTCTAACCTATCTTCAGCAGGTGTTATTCCCATGTGCCCCCGCAACCCGGAGCTAGAGCAAAAAAAAAGTTCTTATGCTGACCAAAGGTCCCAACGGTCTACAGACCAACGGGCCAACGGTAACGGTAGGATATCACCCCTAATTTGATAGATAAGACGAGCGCTGCCGATCTTTGTCTTTTCGTGCTAATAACAAGGTAGCTTCCCGTCTCGCAGCTCGTAACCCCCCATCCGTTGCGCGTAGACCCCTCTATTCGACCTCTGGGCGAGGAATTGTCAGACTCTTTGAGTCTTAGTCAGGTGGTTGACTAAGACTGACTCGGGCTCGTAAGTCGAGTCTCTAAGAGGCCCTACAGCTTCTTAGACTCGACTCAGACCCGGAGTAACGGACTTCAAAATTCATCTTTAGTCAACGACTTTCCAACTTCGGCCGCGTCCAATATCGGTAGGAAAACGAGTGAGGCACTGCTCCCCGGCCTACCGCCGCTCGGGTGCAGATATGCAGGCCAAGAGTTGCGGCAACTGGGGTCGCGCCCCAGTCTTGTGGTAACCTCGTACATGCGACCTGCCATCTTGAGCTAGCTCCTCCTGTGATGAGAGCAAAACAAGCTCATGCGATTGGGATGAACGCCCACTCGACATCCGATGGTGACATCGACAGTCTCCAGAAAAACGACAACGGCTTGTCCCTCGGGTCGACTGTCGTTGAGAAGTGGATGACGACTACAATGGGGGTCTCGATGCAGTACCAGAGTGGTATAAGAGACGCGCCGCCGCAGTCTGCGGGCGGTCGGGCATGCGTCTGTCGAGCTTGAGACTGCAGCCCAGCTTTCGACTCAATAGCCAGAGGTTGTGTCGTGTTACTCTCGTTCAATAGGCAAGATGCGCAGCTCCTCAATTGCCGTGCCGGCTTTGCTGGCCAGCGCAGCTGACCTCGCTGTCGCGCAATTCCCCAACTCGACGATCCCGGGCAACAGCTCTGAGCCTTGTGCTGCCGTGAGCGCTGCTTGGGCTTCTCAGCACGCGCGTGCTCCGACTGGTATTGGAAACCCGATAACGATATGCCCCATTGACGTAGACTGACAAGGGTGGCGCTGTAGTTGTCCCGACTGTACCGGCTCAGTTGGCTTACGACTGCCTCAACTCCGTCCCTCTCGGAAAGGAGGCTGCCATTGAGCTTGTGGACTCTCTGTTCCCATACCTCGAGTGGCAGAGTGGTGAGTCCATATCCCGACGACTTTGTTGGAAACTTTGAACTCTCAACTAACTTGGCTCTAGACGCTGCTTACAAGGCGGATCCCCCACCAGAGTACGACTTCCCGGCATACGACCTCTTCGCAGCCGCCTCGAGCATCAGACAGAACCTGGTCGACGATGTTTACACCAGCGAATACGCCTTCCAGTCTGCTCTCTACGAGGAGGTGTTTGGCCCCGGCCACGACGGCCACTTCGTGTACTATCCCGACTTGCTCACGGCGGTGTTTGAGTGGACCCGTCAGCGGGGCTTGGTCTCCATTAGCGAGGATGGCTCATCTTTGCCCGTGATCAAGATCTACGGTACGTTCTGACTCGACGGTGGTGAATCTATTTAGGCTCTTCTAACTCGTTTTCAGAGGAGGTTATCTCTACCCCCGAGACTGCGTCCGCAGTAAAGCTTATCAACGGCATCGAGGCTTCCAAGTTCCTCGAGGACACCGTCAACAAGGCCAACTGGAACCGTGATGCCAACTCTGCCTACAACTCCATGTTCTTTGAGAAGTCTGGACAGGCTACCGGAATTGGCAACGGCTACTTCAGCTCTGGCGGTCGTGTTAGGTAGGTTGGATGAATTCAACAAATGAGTTACTGGAACGTACTAACATGATTAATATAGATACATCTACCAAGGCGCCAACACCACCCTCACTTTCGAGAACGGCACCGAGGTCACCTTCGAGAACCATGCACGGGTCAAGAAGGATCTCACCGGCATCGTAGACGGCCCCTCCTTCTACGCCAAGTTCTGCAACCCTCTCAGCCCGGCCTCCGGCACCCCGTCCGGCACCTCTCCTTCCAATGCCTCCACCCCCATCCTTCCAGGCTACCCGGAACCCGTCGTCACCACCAGCGACGGCGTTGTGTCCGGCTACTACCTTGAGGGCGAAGGCTTTGAGGACGTTGCCGTCATTGTCCTGACTGCCTTCGAGAATGAGAGCCCTGCCGAGTTCCAAAAGGTTGCCCAGGACTTCTACACCGCCGCCCTCTCCGCCGGCAAGACCAAGCTCGTCATCGACTTCCAGCAAAACGGCGGCGGCTACATCCTCCAGGGCTATGATTTCTTCCGTCAGCTGTTCCCCGAGACAGACCAGGATGGCTTCTCCCGCTGGAAGGAGAGCGACGGCTTCGTCGCCGCAGCCCAGATTGTCTCCGACATTGTGGCTGATGTGGACATCTACACCAGCGATGATGAGAACCTGATTTCCCTGGCTGAGAGCTGGTTCAACTGGCGCTACGACTACAACCTCACCAACCAGCCTTTCACCTCCTACGAGGACAAGTTCGCGCCCCAGGTCTTCCAGAACACCTCTTACACAGACCTCATGCGCTGGAACCTCAACGACCCCTTGACGACCACCAACGCCACTTTTGGTCTTGGAATCGAGATCAACGGGTACGGCAACCTCACCGGCCTTCCCCAACCCTTCGCCGCCGAGAACATCATCATTCTCTACGATGGTGTCTGCGCTTCCACCTGCACCCTCGCCTCCGAATTCCTCCGCCTCCACGGCGGCGTCAAGTCCGTTGCTTTCGGCGGTCTCCCTGTTGAGGGACCCATTGAGGGTGTCGGCGGCATCAAGGGCTCTCAGGTCCTTGACTGGAGTAATATCTACGGCTACACCGAGTTCCTCCTCCCTTACGCCTCCACTGACGAGCAAAAGGCCGCTTTTGCGCGCTACACCGACCTGCCCTTGAACCGCAGTCTCGCGGCAGCCGTCAACGTCCGCGACCAGATCCTGAGGGACAACGTGGACGATGGTATCCCTGCGCAGTACGTTCGCGAGGAGGCTGACTGCCGTCTTTACTGGACTCTGCCCATGATCAAGGACGTCACCGAGATCTGGAAGGCTACTGCGAACGCTGCTTTCAATGGTGGCAAGTGTGCTTACGGAGGCATTGCTAAGCGCGATGTGTCTGCTAAGGCGGCTGTCAAGCGTAGCGAGTACTTGGCTGCTTCGAGCCTCAAGCAGAGGGATGCTCCTGTTCGTCGTGATGAACCGGTTGCCAATGACCGTTTCTGGCAGGACAAGTACGTGCTGAAGGCGATTGACTAATGTACTTGGCGATTTGTACTGTAAAAGAGATCTTGAAATGAGTAATCCCAGGACTAAAGCTGTACATCCGTATTTTCTGTGTATCGAGGGTTGAAAACAGGTTGATATCAAGGCAATTTTCATTGTTGGCTGTAGAATTCCATGATCATACATTCTATTTATCTGAAGAAAGGTATGAACCACCATCTTGGTCCCTCGACTACGGTGGGCATTCCTATCGCTTCTGGAGGGAAAGCCTCGCTTAAATCGGAGATCCCTTTTTCGGTAAAGATTTCTAGACCTCGGATAGCTTCGATCGTTTCCCGACTCGTCGGCACCGAGACATAGCTGTCAGCCTCCGCTTCATGTTCGAGATCTCTGCGGCTCAGGACTGCACCGCACTCAATCATTAATTTGCAGGCTTCGAATGCATTCAGCGGGCGACCCAATCCACGATCAATCTTCAATCCATCAAGAAACATTCCAAACTCAGCCAATAGTTCAGGCTGCTCGTCGGGAAGTTCGACACGAGAAAGAAGGTAGCGGAGAAGCGACAGATCTACCAATTTCGTCCAAAATATCTCTGGGGGGTCACCGGCCTCTACATGCCATGATCCTTTCAGGACGCTTCTCACCGCAGAAAAGAGATGCTTTCTGTGCGGCAATCTCTGCGTAGGTGTTGATAAAGCGGCTTCCACCGCAACAGTTGTTCTTGCCCAGATCTGGCATGCTAGGCGGAAAGAATCCAAAGCACCTGGACTGTCGAGGCTGGTCTCCAATTTGTCCATCATTTTCCCACAGATATTGAGAAGCCCCGGGCCTGAGGCTAATATGTCATAGATATCCGCTTGCTCAATTGTGTGAAGAGACCTGTTTACAAAGCCCATGCAGATGTCGACATTACTTTCGTCCAGTTCATGTTGTTTTCCCAGTTGTGGACCGGATTCTGCGAATGACCTCGCAAGCCAATAACGTTGGTGTTTGAGTGGAACCAGCGACTGATAACTGTTGGAACGCTGAAGAAATTCTGCCACTGTTCGGTGGAGAAATCCAATTCTCAGATTGAATGGCTCACACGCATCCACCTCCCAGCTTTGGACCAAGTCGCAACATCGAACCAAAATCTGATCTCTCTTTCTTGGCCCGTCCGAATGAGTCCACATATGAGTCAAAAGCTTCTCTGTACTGAGCTCACGAGAAGTCTTTGATGGTACGCTGGAACCCCGATTGATCGGGTTTTGATCTCCCCGGTAGAGAGCTTCTTCGGCATCCGGTTGGATTTCGACCGACGAGTTGAAAATGCTGTCCCAATTACTCGTCAAAGATATGCTTGTTGTGTTCAATGATCTGGATACTTGCTTTGTAGACTTAGAGTTCCACATGTCCTCAAAGTAAGTATCCATGATCATGAAGCAAATCACGGGAATAGGCATGTCTGCAATCAACAGCGCGGAAAAGATTCTATATGCGGTTTCCTTGTAGACGTCTTCGATAGAGTCAAGCATTCGCTGGAAGAATTCGTCGAGATCAGAAGGAAAGTCTGCAACTCTCCTCTGTAATATTGCGAGGTCGTCCCAGTTATCTAATCCGCGAGCGAGAGACTTGACAACCAGAGCAACCCAAAAGAAAACGCCTTCTGACTTCTGCGAGATAATCTCGATCAGATTCGTAGCCTCCATTTGATGAGTTTTCAGTAAACTTTGATAATGGTCATGCTGTCCTAGGACATCGCGCACGTAGATTGCCATATCTTGAGCTGTTAGCTGGTCCATCCTGATGCGGGTGAGGGAGTTGCCGTAAGCATCTTCGAATATCCGCCATGGCCGGCTTGCACAGCAAATCTTTATGCCAGAAGTGTGAGCCATGTTGTCGAGAAACTTGAGTAAGTCCTTGTGGTCGCCCTTGTACTCATCAAGCCCGTCTATGAACATCAGGATGCGCTTCGTAGATAACGAGGCGCCCCTGAGACGTTCAAAGGCACTAATTAACTCCTCGATTGTCCAAGGTTCAAGCGTGTGTGTCAGACTGGCGTACCTCTCCGGGAAGACATCAGGTATGAGTTCCGGGCATTTCACCGTGATCTGGAACAGCAGAGCTCTGAGAAGACCTTCTTGGGAACTTTGAAGGCCATTTCTGATACTCCAAAAGAAGTGGCTGGCAATGACAAGTTGATGCGGGCCTGCCCAAATGTTTCCTAGCTGATACGTCTTTTCGTGCCCAGTTACGAACTTCATCAGTGTCGATTTCCCAGAACCCGGTTTTCCAGTAATCCAGAATATGCCATTGGGGCTTTGGAGCCAGGAAGAGAAATTGACATTGGTGGATTCTTGAAAAATCCATTCAAACGTGTTTTGGTGAGCTTTGGGGATCTCGGTCCGTCGTTCAATTATCTGTGCAAATCGCAGGCTTTTGAGAATTTGCAAAATATTGCCCTGATGTTTCGCGTCCTCTACGAAGCGGGAGAGCATCAAAGAAAATGCTTCCAACTCTATCGTAGATGAGACCTCATTCTCAGACTCCAAAAGTTTGCCAATGTCCTTAGACATTTGGTCGAGCCTAGCATTGGTGGCACGGTTCCAGGCTGCTGAAGCATCACCCAATGACCGTACATGGTCAGATACCTCGGAACGATGCTGGCTAGAAGACGGTCTTAGCTTTGCGAGGTTTTTAGAGAGACATGACTAACAACAGAAGTATTTGAAGTCCCTCAAAGATTGCGGTCTTGATTTCCCGTAGTCTCTTTTGAATGTCGATGATACTGTTTTCCTTGAAATATGCTCGGACAGAGAGTTTGGCCTTTGTTAACCTTGGGTACTTGCAGTCGATAGCAGTCGTTAGCCCACTGGCCGCATTAACAAGTTCTTTCGAAGTTTTTTTGCAAAGCTGCAGAAGGCTCTTCATGCCATCATCCACCTTGATGGTGGCGTCTGCTTGTAGTTGAACACAGCGGCGCTGCAAATCTTCGGCCATGGCTTTTAGTTCGACTAATCGTGGTAACAAACCATCGTCGGTGATACTGCGGTATGTACTCATGATGGAGGCGGAGACTTTGAGCCCAAGCTCTAGGAATTGGATGATGTTGGCTGCAACGCCAAGTGCCGCTAATTCGGCCATGATGAGAGCGACTTAGCAGCGAAGGAATGCTTCTCGTCTTGATATTTCCAGCGACCCCGCTTTCGTACGGATTGTGAAGCTGAAGAGATCAAATCACAAGAGGCTGCATGATTTGAGCGATAGGTCAGGCTATCAGCTGGAAGATCTTGGCAATGGCCACGCACGCCGACAGCCCGCGGCACGTTCCCGTGAATGTTGCAGGCGGCTGGAAGCCCAATCAGAGTAGCGAATCTTCTTATGCAATGCAGGCTCCAGCTGGCGAATTGCATGATATCTACGACAAGTCACGTGAAGCGAAATTCAGCGCAAAGGACGCTGGTTGGTTAAAAGAAAACCAAGGAGCCTATTTATATTCGCGCGTCTCAGTGAAGGACCAGAAATCATTGAGTAGAGAGAGGCTTGGCAAGTACTACCACCAAATACATTTCTTTCCCCCGGGCTCATCACCACGTCACATCTTATCCAGACGCATCAACTTTGAACTAGCGAGATGTTGTCAGAGTAGCGTTATTGGACGTTGGGAAGTGCATGTGCATGTTGGCTTGTATGCCGCTGCCCCTCATTCCATAGGTAGTTACCTATGAAGTGTCCTGTAAAGTCCGGGGGAGGCGACTGGTTAATCGCAAATTGCTTGCATCAACATACTAAGTACTAAAGTACTGGGAAATGTTTTTGAGACAGGAGGCAGAAAGTATAAAGTAGCGAAACGTTGTTAAGTTTGATATCCTAGAAGCTCATCAAATGAAATGAAAAGATGGGTATCTCATGAACCACTGGCTCCTCCGGATTATCGCCATGGGCCAGGTTTCCGGCACCTGCCTCTAGTCCAGCCTCTTCCACCAGAGCTCTCCGCGATTGCCGCCATCTCGTTGGGAAGAGATGCGCAGAATCTTTCCATCCTCATAGAGTGTGTAGTTGCGCGCTTGGCTGCCTCCGGCCATAGATGGGACGTTGGCGACGGTCAAGGGTCCGTGGATGACTTGGCCGAAGGTTGCGTTCGCGGGGAATGCGTCGCTGATTCTGAGTGGCCCGGCATAGCCGATGCTGTGCTTGCCGACAAGGGCCCAGTCGGCATCTGATTGCGAATCTTCGAAGGGGAATGTCAAATTGGCGGGCCGGTCTTCGGGGTCTGTTGATGTGATCGTTGCGGACATGAAGCCGGACTTGCTATAGGAGAGGATACCGACGGGGTTGGAACCGTATGTTCGGTCTGGCACAGCGACTCCATCACGTGTACTGCACAAGTCAAGTGTTAGATCTCGATCAATCCTGTACTTTGAACCAGCACATTCGAAGTCAACTTACGCTGAGGTGTTGAGAAGCTGGTATGTTCCCGCCAAGACGGCGAGGATCTCCGTAGGCTGCATTTTGACGTGTGAATAAGGTATTTTCTTCAAGGACGATCAAATGGAACTAGCTCAAACGGTCTCGGTAGTTATTTGAGAGAACGAAGGATAAGGGTCTTTAAGTGCTCAAGTGCCATCGGAAGGAACACCGTCCGTCTACAGCTTTAAGGGCTCGCCCAAATCCAAACATGTCCGCCTCTGCACGTCCATCCGCGCGGGTTTGCCCCAAAAGGGTGTGCTTCAAGCGGTTACGTGATAGATCACGACATCTTAAAAAGCCGTTTCTTCGGAAGCTTGAAGCAAGGGTCTCCAAGCAACTTTAATCAACCTGCTCAGGCACGCCGCACACAGTCTTCATGCCATGGATTTGGAAGTGGATCGCGTGCCAAGCAATTAAACTTACGGGAATTCCCTGGGGTGCCCCCTCTACCCAAAGGTCCAAAGGCTGTGGAAGCGCTGAAAGCACCTTCCTTCGCTATCGCCATGGGTGTTAAGCGAGCAGCGGGACTGACTCGCAGATTGATGAAAAAGGTCTTTTCGCCGAGATGATGGCGAGGAAAGGGGTGGCGCGCGGCTTGAGATTGATGTTCCGGGTTTTCACGATGGAAAAACGACGCAAGAAACGCTTCGTTTCGTCCAAAGTTCCTTCTTTCTTGGCCTTTGAAGGCTGTGTTAACTCTGAAGAACGGGTTACTAGGGATAAGTTGGGGAAATCGAACCAAAGAGCTGGAGATTTGGCTTGGCCAAGCTTGGCAACTTGGCGTAATGGAACTGTCACCGGGCGATTGTGGGGGACGTCGTGCGGGGTACTTCTTTAGTTGCATTCTTATTTTCGAAGAAAAGCTGAAGCCCTTGAGTGATTATTACTGAACCCGACCACTCCGGAGAAGAAGCACGAAGGTGGCCTAAGAAGGTTATGAGCCCCGAAAGCTACCCAGGTGACGGGGGAACGGATGAACCGGAAGGCGACCTGCCAAGTTTAGCAACGTGCCCCTGTCTGTCACGAGAATGTTAATTAGTCGCCTATCCCGTGAGGGGTCACTCAAATCGGAGGAGGGTGCACTGTGGACACTTTTGTTACGATATGAAAGACAACTCAGTTGAAAACATCAACAAGCACCTAAAGCTGAGGATTTGCCGGCGGGTCTATCTGATCTGGGAAAGACAAGAGGGACTAGGCCATCTTTCTACTACTCGCACTCAAAGCACGTGAAAATGCCTGCAGTCGACGTTCCCAGAGCTACCATACCCGGAGGATGGGGAACATCGCCGGGAGTTAACCAAAGTTCCGGGCATCGATATTGGGCTGACGTTTGGTAACGTGTTAAGGATCAACTTCTTAGTTTAGAGCGCAATAATATACCTCAGATCCAGCTGCTTCATATTGCGTAACAACCTGATATGTTGCCGCCATTTCAACATTCAAGTGGGACTTGCATTGAGTCGAGGGATCTCATCGCGTCTGGATTCTCAGCAGTGCTTGGCTTCTTGTCTAATATGCCCACTCTCAAGATCATCTTTTGCGAGAGAGCTATCGCTCCAAGCCTTTGGGGAGGTGCTCCATATATGGGAAAAGGACGGCGGAAAGTTAGTGACTTAAACGTAGCAATAGGTGCTGAATGACCTAGGGGCTACTTGAAAAAAACCATGTATGGACAAAGAAGAAAGGAGTATGGTGATTCAAGACTATGAGCATACGTGTTGCGACTCCTTGCGCGCATGGCAGAGCCCAAAATTCTCATCCCGAATGCGCACCATGACGGGAAGAGGGACAATGAGATAATGCCTCAAGATCACCTTGAAGGATCTCAAATTTGGATCCTCTGAAGATCAAAAAGGCTCGGATGACGGCTAGTGCCTATGAGTTTGCTATGTTAGATCGTTGCTAGTCGCGGCGATCAATTCCACGCCAACTCTAATCCCAAAATGATTGGACAGTAGGTCGCCCCTAGCGGCTATTGACATCAGAGACTCAAACGCGGCCAAATAGGCAACTTGGCAGTGAGATTTTAGAGTCAAGTTCTTGTGGAATGAGACAATGTCGTCGATTCCGCTCAGGTGAACTCCGAACGTAGTCAGAGGCGGGAAGTGCCAATATGGTTGCCTGATCTCAAGGTCAACTTCGTATATCAGTAGCGTCCTGGAACCCTTATATATGATCCCAATTCTTTCTCAATTAATCTGTCGTGTATTCTGAAAACTACACAGTCTTCTAAGCTTTCTGAAATTGAACAACTGAAACGAATTTGCCGACATTAGACACAATGCCGTCCTCGAGGCTATGCACAGTCGTCGGCGCAACTTTACTCATTGCTTCGTTCGGGCTTCTACTTGCCGCTTGCATATCTGTTCCCAATACAAGTTTGTCAATCTTCACGTTGGAAGCGACCAGGCGAGAAGCACGTGGGTCAACCGGACCATCCATTGTTCTTGACTTCGGGCTTTGGGGTTGGTGTCAAGCAACGGCTGCAACATGGTAAGTCACGAGCATGACACCCTACCTTGTAACAGTTCAGTATGGCAACATTTGTACGAACTACATCGAAGAAGGTCGCAGTACTAACAGACCATCTTTTATCTAGGTCAAGATACCCACAGGGATGTCTTAGAGTCGGAGGCTCGGCGAGCTATGATCCAGCTGCCATCATCCGCCCTATGATAAGTACCGGGTTTTTCTCATCGATAGAAAGCAGAAAATTGCGCGACCTGACACTAGGATTTCCATTGCCTGCCGTTGCTGCTGCTACAGCTGGACTTGGTTTCCTTTCTGCGCTTGCCAGCGTCGCCAAGCGTAATCGTCTCACAATCTTAGCCAGCGCAATCTTTTCGGCTTTATCATTCATATTCGCCGTGTCAGCGCTTGGCTGCATCTTCTCACTGTTCGAGAAAATAAGAAAAGATGTGCCTAGAAGTACAGATTTGCGGCTGGCTACGAACTTACGAGTTTTCCACGATATATCAATGAGATACGGGGCTTCGACTTGGACTTTGGTTGCTGCTTGTGCAATGTTGTTGCTAAGCGCAGCAGTGTTCATTTTTGCGTGGCTTGCTGAAGCGCGACAGACTCGCCAGAAATCGATTGATGAGAGCAAAGAAAAGGCTAGCTACTCGCCATCAGAGGGCAGATCATCGGTCGCGGGATCTTGAGTGTTCGCGATGTTTGAGAGATAGCCGTCGCTGTCAGATTCGATGTCTCCTCGGCCCGTAGATCAGCTGGGCCATAGGTTCTGCATAGATTTCTAAACACATCCAAACCCCCCACTCTTTTCGCAGCATTTCGAAAACTGTCTTAATTCTCGCGGGTTCCGATAATTCAGTGGACATGTTGTGCCGTTCCACTGGCCTCCCGCAAGATAACAGCACTCGTAGCTAGCAACGCGATCTGCATGAACAGGATTCCATTTGTTGACAATCAAAATACAATTGCAAGGAAAAATATCTTGTTCTCGGATTGGGACGGCAGTGGCCACGGACAACGTGGTTCCACCAAGAATGGCCATCATAAAGGAGGTTGGCATCATCTTGACCTAAGGTAGAATTGATAAGTCTTGGTCTGTAAAGAAATTTGGGAAAGGTTATATCGTACCGCCGGATTGAAATGATGTGATATGCAGTGAATCTAATGGATGACAGGTGGATTTGATCGATGATCGCAGGAAGATATAAAAGGGGGCTATACAGGGTGGGTCGGTGATGGATGGCAAGTATCTCGAGTGAGATCGTTACTGGTAACTCCGTGTTCAAACGTCGGGGAGAAAAAAATAGTACCGAAAATTTATAGGATAATTTTGATGCTCATAGGTAGCCAGCCAGGTTACGTCGGGGGTTTTTAGTGTCCATACACGTAGGCAGCACAAGGTACTGAAGTTTAAATTGGGTTTAAAGTCTGTTCGGTCTTCCATACCTTTTACAGACCTTAACAATAGCATAAAAACACCGTTGCTTCTACCTAGGCTGATTGTAAGAGTCTTCCAGCGTATGTTGTTTCATTCTGCGTTCCTAGCACGCTGTTGATCGTTGTGCCTGCGATGATGCAGCCCGTACCAATATACTTATACTACAAGGCGGTGATACCATTGCTAGAACTGTTTGGCATGTATTTCATGACTGTACCTTCTGTTTTTCTAAACCGTTAGGTAGCCGGAAATTCCTTGGGAAGCTCGGGTTCTGCACCTAATGACCTTGCCTACCTTAGTATTTTAAGGTCCTTGACGGCATGCAAAATAAGAGCGGTTCTCCCAGAGCACCCGAGGCTTTATTGGCAGGGTTTACTTATCATCGGCCGTTAGCGACACTTTTGCAATGTTTTAAGTAAGGCCATTTAGCAACAGGTATCCGTTCAACCTGAACTTATCGAGGACACAGTCGTTTCATCGTGGGCGTTCCTGCCCGATCGATCAATTTAAAGAAGGTCATGATCATATGTTTCTTCAAATACCTACCACAGAATTTCATTATTAAGCAAACCATACAATGAATAAGATCAATTGTAGCTGGCTCAGTGACCGAAGACGGTCAAAAACAAGACAAAGCAAGGATTGCCCTCGTTGAAGCAGGGAATTAGGCATCCAAGATGACATCACAAATTGGGTTCGAATTAGTACAACGCATAACAAGAATTTGCGTACTAACTAAGCTGTCTACACATCCGGTCAGACATCAGACGTTTCATCCTCTGAGCTACCGTCGGTCATGGCCTCGGATTGTCGGGGCGACTGTTATTGCGGACTACTTAAAGGCCGAGCTCCCCGGGATCAGAGCTTTGCAGCTTTGACATCAGCGCATCAGGCTTACATCCGACTACCATCGTTCTTCAGCACTCAAGCAGAACAAAGCAGCCATGTCAACGGTCTTTCATGTCACTGTTCACGTTGCGCCGCAGGATGTCTCGAGATTTCTGCGGGCTGCGGAGCCGACAATTGAAAAGATGAAGAAAGAGTCCGAGCTGATGTATTTCGAAATGTATCAAGTTCATGACTCTCCTGGTACGATTACGTGGATTGAGAAATGGTATGCTCGGCCCAAGCTCATGAACGACGTTGGAGAATGTTTTCTGATATTCTTCTAGGTCAGAGCCAGTAGACTGGATAATGAAGGTTAGTTGGAGTAGCTTCCCGTGTATGGTCTTTGGCTGATGGGTGCGATGAATCCGCAGCACCAAATGACGAAGGACTATTACAATGACTACTTTGACGCTACGGAACCGTTTTACATTGCACCGCGGGAGCTGAGAATTTTGAGCTCTCTTGGACCTCGTCATACGTATCAGAAGTCGTGAAACAGACTGGGCGCGCGTTGAAGCAGTCTGGAAGCGGACTGGCGTCGAAGATGAATGTGAAATAGAAGAGCTGAAAACTCATAGTAAGGAAGTACCTTAATCATTGTATCAGTCCGCTTCCGAGTCTTGACTTGAAACGACTATTAACGTGTGGAGCGATGATGCATGTCTTGACAGGGAACAATTCTTCCATTCAATCTTATTACTAGACTCCTGGGTATAGACTCCTCAAATCGTATCGCCAGCGGATGGGCCTAGAAGGAATATGTCACGAAAAATAAGTGAGGTTAATGCTGCCAAAATTGGGTGGGCCCAATTTCTGTGACAGAATCATATTCGCGCGGTCAGAAGAAGTATTGAAACTTGAACTGCAATTTCATGATCTTGCCAAAAGCTCCGTGAAGACGTGGTGTTGTCATAGTTTGGATTAGACCACAACAAAGTTATATTGTTACTGACTCTGAGCATTTGTAAGAGGCTTAATCTCATAGAAACCACCGTCTCATAATTCTTGTGTGCATGTCAGCTTTCAGTCATCGATATTACTTATGGTCTTGCCGGCTTGAAAGTTATAAGTCGAAAACCAAGACTTCGCCGATGAAAGGGTCGAAAGTGAGTAGTCCACGAAAGGAAATCGATGAGTAGAAATGCTAAGTAACATGAAGTTTGATTGCACAATTGCTCCTTGGCCCGGCGGCCTGGTCCTTTGGGGTCTTGGCAAGATAACACCTCTTGGCGAGCGACATCGCTGGAAGCTCCGGAGGCTGTCCCAAGACTTTTCCACCCCACACTTTGAGGGGCCTCCTCCACACCGAAGATAAACACATTCCTATTTCCGCATAGTTCGGGGACAAGTACCGTGATCATCGTACCGCCAGAGGAAACATCATGACGTCTCTGGGCTTGGGGCAGCGTAAATGAGGCCTTGGCAACACTATTGGTGTCGGCTGGAGGCCGAAGTGCCCCGAAGAGGATAAATAGAATAGCAGACATGGTCGCATTCTGTGTTGCCCGCCGTTGGTCCTGATCGGCTTGCGCCTTCAACCTCAAAAACCTCTTAAAACTACGGAGCCAACTCCGTGCCTGATGATGCACGTTCCAGAGATTGCGGCTTTCGCCCTGCTTCGCGCAGGCCTCACTGCTGCTCAGCTCACGTATGCTAGCAACCAGGTTGAGGTGATCCCGGATAGCGAAGCAGTAGCGGCGAACTTCCCAGAAGTTGAAGATGTTGACCTGCGCTCGCCCGCTTTCGCCAACCCGGACAGTGTCCCGGCCACCTTTGCCAATGGCACGAGCGGCCCGACAGACCAGGCAACTCTCGGTGAGTCGAATTGAACTGAGAAGCTTAACTCTGCTGCGTAAATCTAACGACTTTTAATCGATAGACTATTTCCTCCAAACTCTTGCCGCGCGCAATGAGTGGATGACCTACCATAGCCCCGACTTCAAGTCAGAAGAAGGCCGCTCGATTCCTTACGTCTACCTGTCTACCTCGAAAGGCATCCCGACGGATACCAGCCATAACACTTATGGCAACGCCAGCGCACCTGCGAAGGTGCGCATCTGGATGCAGGGCGGCGTCCACGGAAACGAACCAGCTGGTGATCAGGCTCTCCTCGCCCTCCTTGGCAGGTTCGATGCCAATGCCACCTGGGCGGCCTCGATCCTCGAGAAAGTCGACATCATGATGTTGCCCCGATACAACCCGGACGGTGTGGCGTACTTTCAGCGCTACTTTGCGACCAGCTTCGACCCCAACCGCGACCACACGAAGCTCGCGCGCCAGCAGACTCGGGACATCAAACAGCTGATGGTGAGCTTTGCGCCTCACGTTGGTGTTGATTGCCATGAGTACAGTCCTACTACGCCCTTTGGAGCCAACGAGCAATGGGTGGATGCACAAGACGGCCAGTTCTCGGCCATGAAGAACGCAAACATCCATCCCGATATCCGCAATATCTCTGAAGCTGTCTTCGCGAACAACATTGCCGCAGCCATGGAGAGACGAGGCCTGAGATGGGGTCCATACATCGTCGGTCCCTCGGGCACAGACGATCTTGTCCTGGAAGAAACCACCGGTGACGCCAAGATCGGAGATAGTGCCGTTGCGCTGACCCAGGCCATCATGTTCCTCACCGAGACGAGGGGAATCGGATTGGCAGACCAACACTGGCAGCGCCGCGTCGCAACAGGCCTGACGATGGTCGAGACAATCGTTCAGACGGCAGCTGACAGGGCGGAAGAAGTATACTCGACAGTAGAAAACGCGCGGGCAAAGTTCATCGCCAGCACCGACGACATCATTGTGACAGAGTCTGCTCGCCCGACCAACATCACGTGGCAATTCATCGAAGCGACGACGGGAGAACTTGTGGACATTCCCGTCCAGTTTCTCAACACCACGCCCGTGGTAGCAAACCTCACCCGTGCTAGACCAGAGGCCTATGTCTTTTCGCGCGCGTGGGCTGATGTTGCTGAGCGTCTGCGCGTCACTGGCGTAGAAGTAAAGACGTTGCAGTCTGACTTCCAAGGCGAAGTCGAGGTATTCAACATCACGAGTGCCGGTGTGGCGCGTACAAAGTATGAGGGAATCGCTCGCACGACTGTGACGACGGAGACCATGGTCAAGGAGGTTCGGATCCCGGCTGGCGGGTTCTGGGTCAGTACCAGGCAGAAGAACGCGGCGCATGCGTTTGTGACGCTTGAGCCTGAAGGCATCGACTCCTATGCTACCTTTAACGTTTTTCCGGTGAGCGTTGGTGATGAGTATCAAGTTTACCGCGTCATGGCATAGGCGGCAGAACACGCTTCAGAGAGTGATGCGTTCAAGCACGTTAGCTTAACAATCTAATCGTAATGAACAATATTGACGGTCAAGTACCCTGTCCTCTAAGTTTCTCTATTATAGAATGGGCAAGTCATTTAGGACTACTTTGGTCACATAAAGTACTTACTACATAATAGCGATTACTATGTCAGGACCTAGTGCCTAGAAGTAAGCTGTTCACTGTCGATTCGTCATCAAAGCACGATCTCCCAAGCTGGCAATTCGACATGAGAAGTTCTAGAAAGACTAGATAAGTACTAGCCTGGGAAGCTTCTCTAGACCAACATAAACCGGAGGATTGCCCAACATGCCTAATTCTCCGCGGCGAATTGTCAAATTCCCACTGGGTCTTTACGGGACAAGCTGCGGGTTCCGGTGCGGGGGACGGAGACAATGCCCCGTCCTGCTCGGGCCATATAAGTGACGAGCAACCCGCGAAATGTGATCAAAAGCAGTCATGATACGACTAGACCTATCTGAAATTCACTTAATAGTTGAAGATGGCAAATATGATGAAGTTTCAGAACCCCATCATTCCGGGCTTTGCGCCAGACCCCTCAGTCGTCATGGTCGATGGGACCTTCTACCTCGTCACCTCATCCTTCCACGTCTTTCCCGGCCTACCAATCTACGCCTCCCGTGACTTACAGAGCTGGAAGCATATCGGTATAACGTTGTTTAAACGCATCAGAGAGAACAATTCCTGGCTAACTCGCCGCGTCAGGTAACGCAATCAACCGCCCAGAGCAACTCACCCTTGCCAACGCGGGTACAAAATCCTTCACCCTAGACACCGGCCACACAATGATCGCAACAGGCGGTCTCTTCGCCGCCACGATCCGTCACCACCGCGGGAAATTCTACATTGTCTGCACGAACTGCGGTTCTTCAAATGGATCGTCCGACCTAGAAAACTTCATCATTTATACCTCTGACATCTGGGCCGGAGAGTGGAGTGACCCTGTGTCAGTAGACTTTCACGGCATCGACCCAAGTCTCTTCTTCGATGACGACCGTGTATACTTCCAGGGCTGCTTCGTCATGGATCGCTCCAAGCAGCCGAGTTGTACGATCAAGCAAGTTGAAGTCGATGTTCTCACTGGGAAACAACTCTCCGAGCAACGTGAGATTTGGGGCGGATACGCGAGATACGACACCGAGGGGCCGCATGTGTATAAAGTTGACGGGTGGTACTACCTCCTCGTAGCCGAAGGCGGGACTTTTGAGCACCACATGCTTTCAATCGCGAGATCAAGAGACATATGGGGACCGTACGAAAGCTTCGAAGGGAACCCGATCATGACTGCGGATGGCAAGGACGAGTACATCCAGAACATCGGTCACGGGGAACTATTTTGGGATGCGGAGGGAGCGTGGTGGGCTGCAGTACTCGGCGTCAGGAGGGATGGTGGCGGATGCGCTGCCTTGGGACGCGAGAGCTTTCTTACGCCTGTTGAGTGGCCTGAGGGGGGGTGGCCGCGGATACTTCAGCCTAAGATGAACTTTGAGAGGGAGTTTGGGGAGGTTGTGTCGAGCCTGGATGTACAAGCTTCGAAACCACCCGCCGGTGTCGCGAATGTCTTTATCAGGGACCCCGACTTTTCCAAGTACCGACTCTCTAAGGATGACGAACACAGAGTCACACTCTTGCCAAGCCGCAACGGATTCTCAAGTCCCACCGGAACTTGCACTTTTCTCGGGAGAAGACAGAGATCTTTGGCAAGTTACGCCGTGGCTTCTCTCGACCTAGATAACGACACGAAGTCAGCAAGAGGGCTTCGAGCAGGTTTGGCAATGTACAGAGACAGCGTCCGTCACGTCTCGATTGCTTACGACTCTGATGCTGGAGCCGTCATCTGCCATGCCTTCAATTCTGCGACTGGCCTCGATAAGGTCTTCCCAAAAACCCTTCCTCTGGGGAACAAGACACGAAAGATAAGTTTCAAGATCCAAGCCTCGGAAACTGAGTGGAAGTTCTATGCTGTACTGCATGACGAGGATGGTGCTACTTTTGGCAGCGAAAGTCTCAGCCTTGATAGTTGTAATTGTGGAGAGCTCGGGGTTGTTGCAGTCAAAGATCTTGATGCCCGGGACTTCACGGGACCCATCCTGGGCATCTTTGCTCAGGCTTCAGTCGACGAGACAGAAGATCCACCGGTTACGTTTTCTCACTTTTCAGTGGAAGACGATGGATTTAGTGTGTAGTTGGCATTGACGCATCAAAAAACAAGCTCATGGCTTAAGACAAAAGCAACTCCATGACATAGTCTAAGGTACTTGGAGGTGTGCTATCTGTGTCGTGGGTTTTCTGGTAGAGATGTAAGAGAACAAATCGGAACAAATTGGATAGAGCAATGATATAACAAGAACCTGAAGACAAGCAAGGATAAGGCAAGAAGACAACGCACAATCAAGGATCGGAAACGCTCCTTGTGTCAATAACACAACCAAAAGGCAGCCCAGCAAAAGATTTTGACCAGCATGGGGGTCGAACCCACAATCTCCTGATTCCACGGTATATCGTAGTCAGACGCCTTGCCATTGGGCCAACCGGCCAGACAATTCAGAACATCTTTGATGCTCGTCTGTGTCGGGTTGTGCCGAGTTTGGGCTTCAAGTTTCGTTGCGAAATGGGCGGGCGTGGTTGGCGTTTTTGCCGTGGCAGATTGGAGGTCTGTGATGTTGTTGCGGCGGGCCAATGGCGACCACCCAATTTGGAGTAAAAGTGAAAAAATTTGCTAGCTGCTTTCTTCGGCGGAATTGAGGAGGGGGGCCCGAGGGGCAGGCTAAATGCCTCAGCCCCTCCCGATGTCGGGGGGTAAACCGTGTAATTGGCGTTGGTATTACGAATTTCCTCGGCCCCGCTGGGAAAGGATTGTGATGATGGTATTGGCATTTGACCAGTGTGGTTGAGTGCAATGTGAGTCACTGTCCCAATCCATCGCCTCTCCCTCCTGCTGGAGCGTTATGAACAGTCTGTGGGTGCTTTACATCCAGCTGCCAATTTATCAGATGGGGCAGTGTAAGAGCTGCGATAGCTCATTGTAAGAGCGAGTCTCGAGAATTGTGGTCTTGTGTGCGATCTATTGTTTTCAGGTGCAAATGGAAGTTCTATCGATAATTCCATGGGGAGACTCAATGTCTCATCTTTTATGTTGTAACCCCTCTGGGTCCATTTTCCTCCTAAAGCACAGGGACACCTGGATCTAGTATCCACGGAAGATAAGGTCCTCTCTCTTGGGGCCAGTGCCGATCCAGACAACCTTGACACCGACAAACTTCTCAATGAACTCAACGTACGCGCGAGCCTGCTTGGGCAGGTCGTAGTACGTCTTGGCGCCCGTCGTGGGCGTGTTCCAGCCCTCGAGCTCCTCGTAGATGACCTCGGCGTCATCAAGGGCCCTGATGTTGGCAGGGAAGGAGGGGAACTCCTCGCCAGTGTGCTTGTTCTTGTAGCCGACGGCAACCTTGATCGTGGGGAAGGTATCGAGGATGTCGAGCTTGGTAAGGTTGAGAGCGGTGTAGTGGTTCAGGTCGTGCGAGTACTTGATGACGACCAGGTCGAGCCAGCCGCAGCGGCGAGAGCGACCAGTGGAAACACCAATTTCGTGACCAATCTTCTGGAGCTTCTCGCCCGTCTCGTTCAGCAATTCCGTGGGGAAACCACCACCACCGACACGGGTAGTGTAGGATTTGACGACACCGACGACGTTGTTGATCTTTCTGGGGTTGAGGCCGAGCTAGTGATGTGTCAGGGCATGAGTCTGTTGATTCGAGCATCATCTTAACTTACACCAGTGAAGACACCGCCGAGGCCAGTGTTCGATGATGTGACGTAAGGGTAAGTACCGAAGTCTATCAAGATTAGCAAGGCCATCCATCATCCTGCCATGGTGTTCACATACTCAAGTCAAGCATGACAGCCTGGGCACCCTCAACGAGAATCTTGTTGCCGTTTCTCTGAGCGTCAGCGATGATGGGGACAGCATCGACAACAAAGGTCTATGGGGTCATGTTAGTCACCAATACGGCATTTCATCGTTGCAAAGAAACTCACGCGAAGGTCCTCTCTGTACTGCTTGAAGCGCTTAATCTCGTCCTCAACATCGTAGACAAGAAGGTCGCCGAAGCGCTTCTTGAAACCCTGAGCGAGCTGGCGAAGCTTGTGCTCAAAGAGCTCCTCGTCGAACATCTCGCTGATGGTGATGCCGTTGCGGGCAGCCATGGTGCTGTAGGTTGGGCCAATACCGCGCTTCGTGGTGCCGATGCTGTTGCCGCCAAGCTCTTGCTCCTCCAATCCATCGACCTGAATGTGGCAGTCGGTGATGATGTGGCAACGATCGGACACCAAGAGGCGCTCGCGGATGTTCTTCAGGCCCTTGGCCTCGAGATCGGCCATCTCCTTGAAGAAGGTGGGGACGTGAACGACGGCACCGGATCCGATGAGGCTGATGCACTTTTGGTGCAGGAGACCAGAGGGAAGAAGGTCTGCGGATGGTAATGATCAGCATAAGGGGGTTAAAGGAGCGTTGCAATGGGATCGAGACGTACGGAAGTCGTAGCTGACGCCATCGACGATGACGGTGTGACCGGCTGTTGGAGGTCGGGTTAGATACTACACGTCGCGATGGCTTCGGGAGTTGGAGTGACTCCTACCATTGTGTCCGCCCTAGGGCCATCAGCATGCCATTGATTATCCAAAAGGTACCAAAAACCCAACCTGAGCTCTGGCGCAAATCTGCGCGTCTTGTCCGAGGCTATATCGCGGATGTCAGAAGAGGGGCCCGGGGGCGTCAATGGGCATAGCTTACACGTCGACCAGCTTTCCCTTACCCTCGTCACTATTTGAGCGCGATATGTTAGTTCGTAGTTCTGCGGCAGGTCTTCAATGGCGCAGCAGAGTTGAATTTTTGTCGTTGTGTCGCGATCCATCGAGAGCATACGCATACACGGCCGATACGTGTACACCCTTGAGGTCCCTCTCTGTCATGTATCACTCTGCTGGCCTGGGATTGAGAAGTGCAGCCAGTGTGCGATAGCACAAGATGGACAAAGGAGAGAAGCGGGAGATTGTGAGGTGAGAAGACGCATGTATGTGTAGAGCAAAAAGGTAGAGCAAATTTGGGCCGCGAGAATGTTGACAGCTTACCCCCACTGGGCGCCGAGAACGATATCAATCGTAGCCATGGCGTCCGGTATGGATTGTAATGTGTGAGAGAGTGAGAGAATGTGTGTATAGCAACAAGCAACTTGTTTAGCGAATTGTCCAAAGTATGGGTTGCTGCGATCGCAACGTCGGTCTGCGATAACTTCACAAAAACAATCAGAAGGGGAAGACGCGGGGTTTAAAAATCGGCCATGGAGGGGCAGGTTTTGCTTTGGCGGGGTTCCAGGTCTGCGGACCAACGTGACGACGGGCCCACTTCTCTGCTGCTTCCTTGGCTGCGATGACTCTTTCCCGCAGGGCAGCAGCAGGGCAAGGCTCCTTCCATTTGGTCAATTGCTGCTGCCCGCTGGAGGTGTGCGCTCCAAAACGATTGCGTTATCGGCCGCTTGTCGGGACTCGGTGAGTACGTACCACGGCAATGGTGCACCAATCGCCGGCTCAACGGGACGGAATCGTCCGGAGTGGAAGAATCAGGCAACGCCGGACGATACTCCGTCATGTGGCTCACCCGAGGTATCGTCAGCCACAAAACCACAGCCACAGATCCATAACCATTTCAGCCACATTGTGCGTCTCTAGCCACACCTTGGGAATTTCTCAATGGGGAAAATTCTTCTCAATCAATCCCCTTTCTTGCGCGTCTGTTGCTCGCTAGACCTAGCTCGCTAAAGGCCAGTTCTCGTCAGACAAGGACTCTTCAATCAAGGACAATTCTTCTACTTCCTGAGGTATTTAGAGCATCTCAGCCTGATCATCAATCAGAGACTTTGATAGACCAGCCAGCACAGGCACATACCTCTCGTGAAGGTGCAAGTCAATAACCAAAAGTTCAACTCTCGCTGATGGTATGCCCAAGTTCGTCCGTAATACCTTGCGCTTCCGTTCATCCACCGTCCACGTGCTGTCGTCCGAATTGGAGCAAATCGGCCGAGCCTACCTTACATATTCATTACTGGACCTCGTCGCATCAAGCTCATGAACCCGGCGCACATCGCAACCCCTGTCGATTCTCCGCTTTGCTGGCATGTTTTCATCGCCGAAGACCGAACAAGCTTTTTTCCCTCCAGCTACGGGAACTTCAAGTTGCCCAAGAATCACGTCCGTTTGGATATCATCGCAACTACCACAGTGTATAGATCATCACGTAGCGAGAGAACAAGAATGCAATGATTTCACTTGATCAACATAACTGCTGCGAATCAAAGTACAACCTATAGTGGCTTTGCATCAAGTTGTAGGGAGCGAAAACACACACGAATGACCACACTCAAAGCCCTTCACATGCCTTTCCGAGCTCATCCTCGGGCTGAGCAAAAGTTCCTTGCCTACCATGGACCAACATCGTCAATATGACCGACCAGATGGAAAAGCGCTCACTGATCGGAACACCTACCGAGCAAGAGCAGGGGAACCCATGAGGGACTGGGACTAACCTGGTGTAATTGGAGCACACCAGGGCCACAGCTGAAAACTTGCCTAGGCCTACCGAGAACGCCGACGCCATCCAATCTTATCTGATGGATCAGATAACTTTCTTCGTCCCCTACCCCACGCCTCCTCTGCAACCTTTATCAATCTCTTCACTCCCCTCCAGCCAATGGCACTTCTCACCAACGGCCAAGCTAGCGTTTCCTTCTCCACCTCGCCGTCAAAAAGGCCCTGGACGCGACCCGAATGAAGCGAGAGAGCTCTAACCGAGCATCCTGATCTGGCATGGCTGCCATGCATAGCAGTACAACCCCTTGTCAAGTTGGCCGGACCATCTAACCGACCCTGGCTTCGAATGCACCATCGGATCACTCAACACGAACGCCTTATTCTAATAACGCTGGTGATGGAGTGAGGGAGGGTCTATCTGCCTCGCGTGCGGACGCCACATGCAGAAGCCTGACTCTCACATTCTCCAGGAACATGGCCAGCCCTCCAAGGTAGGCGTGGACTTGGAAGGTGCTAAAAATGCTTCTACACATATATAACATCGCATGTACATCCGGCACGAGCTAGACGTGCTTGAAGTTCCTTCCTTTTTTCCGCGCGTTTTACTTGTCTTCTAATTCCTTGGTTCAGATCGCTAAGAAGTCAGTCTCCTGTTTTGTCTCAAGCCGAAAATATTAATATAGCCATCAAGATGAAGTATTCATACGTTCTCCTGGCTACTGCCGGCCTTGCCGCAGCCCAACAAAAGTTCACAGACGTCGTTCCCAAGTGCTCCATCGAGTGCCTCACAAAGGCCGTAAAGGACGGCACAAAATGCAGCAGCATCGACGACTCTGCTTGCATCTGCGAGGCGGACAACTACCGCAGCATCTACACCGTCGGCGTCAACTGCGTTCTTCAAGCCTGTGGCTCTGACGTTGCTATTGGTACGTCAACTTCACTTAATTCCTTTTCTCTTTGCCACCTCCATTACCGCTTCACAATCTCAGGCAAAAGCCTCAACGCCGTGACTGACACTTGCTCTCGATAACAGGTCAGCTCCTTCCCGCCGCTGGCAAGTTCTGCCGCGAGGTCACCGGCGGCGCCTCCGCTCCTCCCGTCGACTCTGCCTCCGCCTCTGCCTCCGCCGTCGTTTCCTCTGCCATCGCCTCTCTGTCATCTGCCGCCGTTTCTGCATCTACCGCTGCCTCTAACGCGACTGCCTCCGTCTCGATCACCGCCACGCCGACTGCCGGCGCTAGCAGCACGGCCGCCGCGGCTACCACTGCTTCTCAGGCTGGTGCTGCTCCTGCTCTGGCTTCTATGGGTGCCCTTGGCATGCTTGCCCTCGGTGGTCTTGCTGCTTTCTAGAGCAATGTTCTCTGGGAAAGGAGTGACTGAGGAGCAATGCAGAGTGTCGGAAACAATGACTGTTACCGAGCCAGGCTGAGCGATGTAACGGGAAATCACTAGGCACCTGAAATGTTCACCCCTCATCTGGCGAGAATTTGAACTGATTGAAAGGATCTGGAGATACCTACTCGTAATAAACAAACGAATTACCATCTATGTCTTTGAATAGTGCACAGAGTCGATAACGTGTGATCTTTCGGGGCTCAAAGCCTCAGGACGAGAATTGAAAGTCAAGCGAACCTCCAATCTTATCATGTCCTGTCCAACCTTCATCTTCCAGGCCCGCATAATCCACACCGTGTCGTATGTCTTGCTCATAAAACTTGAGCTCCACTCCCAAATCCACTAGTTGTCGTCTAATCACCAGTTCTTCAGGGCTCATTTCTACCGCGTTGGTTTTGGTGATGATGTGTAAGGAACGAAACTGGGGAAGCTCTCCTCTTTTGATACGTTCTATCAGTCCTTGTACATTGTCAACCAAGAAAACGGCTCGGAAGCCTCCCCCAAGAGATAAGCATCGTAAGGAAGATGGCAGCGACGATACCAGGTCATTGCCATTGTATAGCTCACCCCGAGACTCGAGTCTCAAAACTTCGAGCAGCTCGTACTCCTGAAGGTAACTTCGTGGGTCTGTTTCCACGTCACTCCCTTCGGTAGAACGATCCCGGGTGACGTCACCCCAGTATTTCCCAGAGTTACCACCAAGGCGTAGACGTTTGAGGGTGGGCGCGAGGTCTTTTAGACGCCTGACGCAAGACTCAGTCAGGTTTTGGCACGCCTCCCATTCCATGTGGCCGTGGCTAATATACTGTATTTCTTCCATGCCGCCGCAGCGTATGAACATACAATCGATTGCAAGATCACGCAAGTGGCGACCATCGTCGGAGGGCCATCCGTAGGGTCCGAAGCAGCCGGTTCTATGCCGGTAAACTTGACGGGGGACATATGAAGGGCTGTCGAAGATCAGCATCGTGGGAATGTCCATATTGCGCCGAATTTCCATAAAAGTCAATTTCTCGATGTCTGGATACCCAGGTAAATGTAGTTCGTGTTGATGGTACACTGATACTGTTTCTAGGGCTGGTGTTTGCAGCATCAACCACTGGTGCCACATAGTTGTCCATCGGAAGAAATGCATGCCCCACAACCTTGTGCCGATTTTTAACACCGGCTTCAGTTCATGGGTGCTAAGAGAGGCATGGTTCATAAAATTTTCAAGACTTCTCGGACGGCGGAACTTTGGGATTTCCACTGCCTCAGGTTCGATTTCTCTGAATGAAATTGACTTAACGTGTTTGACGAGATCGGGACGTTCAAACAGCGTGTACACCAGCAAAATCGCTTTCTGACGCAGGACGCAGAAATGATAGAGGTACGGAGTTGCAATATCTCGCCAGTGAGTGTCAACAAGACAGAGATTGAAAAGCTCGGCGCTATTGGTATGGCTTGGTTGGTCTGGGTTGGTGAGACAGCCCGTGCAGTGCACGCAGAGATTTGAGGCTATCATGTGATGGACCTCGTTTGGTAGGCTCGTTATGGTTACTGGAGGATGTTTCCTGTCCACTGCAAGAGAGATATTATCTGATGCATTTGTGGCTGCCGGATTGCCGGAGGTTTGTGCGGGATCCATGGCTGGTATGAGAGATGATTTCTCATGCAAATTTGGTACGGGAGGGTTTCTCGACTCTTGATCGCTGTAGGCGGGGGTGACTGTTGAGACAGGTGAGTGTTTAGGAGAATTCGACACTCTTCAAGTTCCAGGCAGCAGGGCTCTCGACTATATCTATGACCACGGCCTACAACGGTTGCCAATGTTTGAAAGACCTCTCGCGATTAAGATCCAAAAGGTTGCGGCCTCACTCCAATCTGACTTTGGAGCCTCAGTGTGTCGTGTGAGGTTGGTGGGGTCCAACGGCGTTTGTGGACATGGTGCGCATGATACAAAGTTTTATTGATCTCAAGGTGGTTTCAATGGAACGTTTCTTCCAACTCTTCCGACTGCTCAGAAGGGCTGCATCGCTGAAAACGCCAATCCTGTTGTCTTCAAGTTCTGGACGGTATTCGACTTAGAATGGCGACATGCCTGCTTTGCTACGTGTTTATGCAAACATGAACTAAAGCTTCGATCAAGTGCCAATTCTGTGATGCCTGACTCCAACTACTTCTCGTCAAGCTATCTAAGAGAAGATAGAGCTCAGATAATCAATCAACGATCTCTTCCCGAAGATGGCAGCATTTCTCATGAGTGCTTTCCGTTACATGTAAGGAGTGTTTAATGCTCAGTGAAGCAGGCACGCACGCCCCGTCTAGATGGATTAATCTACATCTGTAAGAACAGTGATACAGTGACGTAGAAGAGGGCTGGTCAGAGGGACTGCAGCACGATCAGGGGCTTGCATTAAGATCCTTGAGGCTGCGACCGACGCCTGTAGGAGTGAGGTTCTCATGACATAAAGTGGAAAGTCTGAGATCAGTCCTTCCTCACTGGACTCTCATGGCACCCTCGGGCTGCATGTTGGTCAGGAGATGCAATACCCCTCCTCCTTGGCACATTGACAACCAACAATTTCGGCCTCCCGTGCATGATCGCTGTCGTGCTTCATCCCTCGGTATCTCAAGTAGCTCAACTTGAATTTTTGAGTAAGAAGTTTTGCCTTTTTCCTTTCTCTTGAAAACCTGCGACCTCATTCATTTCGCCGAATTTGAACAATTATGGGAAGAGTGATTGGAATGCGGAAGACAGATGGAATCATCTTGATCATGATTGAGTGAATCTGGGGACCAGGAAATGATTACCCCGATCTTCCCAACCCCATTTAACCGGTACCAATAGGATCTGCTATACCCCTAAGCATACAATTACTCTAGACTCCCGACGCAGATCTCGTAACCCCACGGGGAAGAAATCAGACCACATCTTACACCCTTGTCAGCCGTTCCCCCGGGTCAAGTAATCCGAGGATCAGTTCTGATACCCAGATGCACCTTCAAAAATCCCGATTCATATCAAACTTGGGAGACCTGTGTATTGATCACGAACAGACCTGATACGAGATCTCACTTACCCCTGGACAACCACTTCACATGCACTGAAAATGGCCACCGCTGTAGCCAAACCGCCATATTTTGGGCTCAAGGGGAAATGGCTTACTTACTGGATTACGTTTGCATGCAGTGTAGACATGCTCATGTTCGGCTATGACCAAGCAGGTAAGCCATTGTTACTGCCGTCTGAGCCGTATGCTAACACGGGCAAAGTCTTCAGCGGCGTCATCGTGACTGACGATTTTCTCGAGCTTCATGATCTCGTCGGCCCGGAGAAGACCCGTATGCTATCGACAATCACAGCAATATACGACATCGGCTGTTTCGTCGGAGCGATTTTGGCCTTCACTATTGGGGAGTCACTGGGTCGAACGAAGTCCATCCTCATCGGTACCGCGATTATGAGCATCGGCGCCATCTTAATGGCATCGTCTTATAGCTTGGCCCAGATGTTCGTTGGGCGCATTGTGCTAGGGTGAGTATCAGCTCATGGCCTCGCTCATTCCACATCGAGGCAAAATTAAACTGATGTTTACACAACAGAATCGGCAACGGAGTCAACACGGCTACCGCTCCGATTTGGCAGACCGAGACAGCTCCCGCTCACTGGCGTGGGAAGCTAGTCATGTTTGAGATGATGATGAACATTGTTGGATTCTCCCTCTGCAACTGGATCAACTTTGGTTTATCATACGCAGGCGGTGCCGTCGCCTGGAGGTTCCCCCTCGCCTTCCAATTTGTCTTCATCATTGCGCTTTTCGCCGCTGTGCCATGGCTGCCGGAGTCGCCCCGATGGCTCATGTCACATGGGCGGGAGGAAGAAGCAACACTGATTCTTGCCTGTCTCGAGGCAAAACCAGAAGATGATGCGTTTGTTATTTCTCAGAAGGAAGAGATACGCTTCAGTATCGACTACGAAAGAGAACATCATATCCGGTGGAGAGATCTGCTGCGACCCGATCCTGGGGCCACCAAACCACTGCGCAGAATCATCTTAGGGGCTGGCACACAGTTCATGCAACAGTTTGAAGGTAAGGTGAATCTCGATTCTGGACGAGATGGCGCCAAGTGTTTCTAACATATCATTGCGTGCAGGTATCAACATCATGAGTTATTATATGCCGGCCGTTTTAATCTCTGCGGTTGATCTATCAAATGAGCTTGCACGTCTCCTAACGGCTGCCAACTCGCTGACTTATCTGATCTTCTCATGTGTATCTGTGACACTTGTCGAGAGATGGGGACGGCGCGGACTGATGCTTCTTTCCACTGCCGGCCAAGGCTTAGCATTCCTCGTTATCACGATTCTTCTCAGGTACGGTGGCCCGGGAGGAAACCGAAGAGCTTCAGAGGGATCCATTGTTTTCTTCTTCCTATACTTCATGGCATTCGGCCTGGGAATGCTGGGCGTTCCCTGGCTTTATCCCACTGAAATCAACTCGATTGCCATGCGGACGAAAGGTGCTGCAGTTGCTACGGCCACCAACTGGTACAACAAGTCCTCGGTCATTATTTCTTGAATCAACTAACGGCTTTCAGGATGACGAACTATGTGATTGTCCAAATTACACCAATCGGAATCCAAGATTTGGGGTGGAAGTTTTGGATCGTGTTTACAGTCTTGAACGCTGCGTTCCTGCCTGTCATCTACCTCTTTTATCCAGAGACAGGTAAGAGCCAATCCTAAATCCAATCATGAAGGTATCCCGATGAAAGTACGTCTTACACACATCCCAGCAAACCGAACACTCGAAGACCTCGACGAGTACTATCGCAACAACCCTCCTCTCTTCGTCATTGGCGATAAGGACGCGATTGCCAGTCAAAGACCCAAGAAATACGTCGATAGACAGGAAGCACATGTTCAGCGGGTTGCTCACGAGAACGAGATCACCGAGACTAGCGAAAATGCGGTTTTATCTGGAGAAAAGCACCAAGCAACTTGAGAGTAGCGGCTTCTTTCGGGCAGGGCAAAGAGACCAAAGGTTCAAGATGTACTCATTAATAGTATGTCTTTCTATGTCAGGGTATAT